TTTAATCCAGTTTTGATCCGATCAGAATCAAAAAAATCGAATTTATTTTGCAAAATCGGATTTGAATTCAATATTTCTATGATTTCTATTTAACTTTTGAACAAAATTCGTTTGATTTTAAAGAGAAAGAGAAAGAGAAAGAGGAAAGAAATTGTCAAAGTTTGCGAGAGAAATTTGAGAGATTCAGCTTCAAAAAACCTTAAAATTACAGAATTTCCTTCTTTTCTATACTAGACTTTAGTTTTCTAGTGTCACAGGATTTCAAAATGAAAACTATTTGGTGATTTTGAACTTAAACTGTTCTCTCCAGCGGAAATGATGAGGGGGTAGACGATAATCTCTTGATTCCTTTCAATCTCTCGACTTCTTCTAGGATCTTTCTTCACTTTTATCTTCAAAATGATGTTATCTAATTGAAAATGTTCTCATATCTCTTATCTCAAATTTAAACAAAGAAATGAAGACGAATTATTCAGCGATCATTCTGATAGATTGAAACTCTTTGGGCTTGAAATGTTACACCAACGCCGCCTTATCATCGATTTAGTGGAATGCTTTAAAATTGTTAAATGCATTCATCCTGACCCCCTTTTTTCTGGTCTCATTGAATTCGGCTCTACTCCAGAAGCCTCCAGAAGCCTCCAGAAGCCTCCAGAAGCCTCCAGAAGCCTCCAGAAGCCTCCAGAAGCCTCCAGAAGCCTCCAGAAGCCTCCAGAAGGCCTTTTCTCATTCGCCAACCTTCCGTTCTAAAAGTCCCCACAGTTTCTTTTTTAATCGAGTTATTAAATTCAGGAACATTTTACCCCCTCATGTTCGTGATATTCCCACCTTGGCTAGATTTGAATTCGGCTCTCTACTTCAGAAGCCTCCAGAAGGCCTTTTCTCATTCGCCAACCTTCCGTTTCCTCTAAGCTCCCATTTCTTTTTAATCGAGTTATTAAATTGTGAAACCTTTTATCCCTCATTTTCGTGATAATCCCACCTTACCTAGATTTGAATTCGGCTCTCTACTTCAGAAGCCTCCAGAAGGCATTTTCTCATTCACCAACCATCCGTTCTAAAAGCCCCCACAGTTCCTTTTTTAACCGAGCTATTAAATTCTGGAACATTTTACTCATGTTCGCGATACCTTGGCTAGATTTAAAGCCGCAATTTCGGCAATTGATTTGACTACTCTGTGATTCTTTCTTGAGGTATCTATTTGCCTTTTTGGATGTGTTTTGAGTGGTGTCCCGGGTAATTATTATGATTTTGTTTTGTCGCTATTCAACTGAATAAAGCATATATAGATCTAATCTCTTGATTCCTTTAAATCTTTCGACTCCTTCTAGAATCTTTCTTCACTTTCATCTTCAGAATGATGTTATCTAATTGAAAATGTGCTCATATCTCTTATCTCAAATTCAAACAAAGAAATGAAGGCGAATTATTCAGCGATTTCTTCACGCATTTCCTTTTTTAGAATAAACATTGAAGATCTTCAACATCTTCAACATTTTCAACATCTTCAACCTTTTCAATCTATCAAAACCTCTTAAAGTTCTGATTTTCAAAGCTTTTCAAAGCTTTTCAAAGCTTCAAAGCTTAAATCAAAGCTTTTTTTTTAAATAAACTTTTCCTAGTTTAGAAATTTCAGAAAAAAACGTATCGGAAATTAGGTGAAATTCTAGAAATGTTCTGTTCATTGGTGAGTCCATTTTTAAGCTTTTCCCAGAAATCGGGAACATTTTTTTCGTCTGCAGCTCACTGAGTACGTGTTGGGCAATTTGTAGTCATTTTTTGACTTAATTTGATCATAGGATATGGTGTATTTAAGTGACGTCAAAAGCAGCTTTATGGACTCTGGTTTAACTTTTGATTCATTTTAAACATTTTCTAAAAAGTGTCCACTTTCTTGAATAGTGTAACCTTGTACTTTTTATTGAATCTATTTTTTGATACTTTTCAGTTTTCTGTTTAGAAACAAACTGATCTTGTTCTTCATTTCGCAAAAACTTCTTTGTAATCTTGTACTAGTTTTAAAGAGGAGATTCAGGGCTATTCAATGACTATAATATTGGGTTGGTGAATTGAAAACTGCGGGACTTTGAGCTAAAATTTATTCAACATAAAACCATGAATTCATCCCAAATAATTTCCATTATTATTGACGACTTCTGCCCATTTTACAGGCAATTTGCGGATTCCTCTTTCGTAGTAGGATTTTGGTTTGTGTGTGGGACAAGTGTGAGACTCAAAAATCGAGGGCTGGAGATGTCAGCTGTCAGCCCAGTTTGAGCACTTTCTTCAAAAGAAACCCATTTTGGTGTCAATAGAAAAGTTGTAGAGAATCAAAAATTAGGCTTATAGCCAAATTTCCAGAAAGATACACTTAGTAGTTTCGCTTAAAATGCAAGTTTTGTCAAAATTTGGCATTTCTTTTGTGTAAATTTGGCATTTCTTAAAAACGAGTTTTTGAATCGTTCTGAAAATTTGGATATAAGCTTGATTTTTGATTCTCTACAACTTTTCCATTGACACCAAAATGGGTTTCTTTTGAAGAAAGTGCTCAAACTGTCACGGATGACAATAGCCCGCAGTTTTTACTAAGCCAGTAAAAATTTGAATTGCTGTTTTAAAGAAAATTGCTGAACAGATCGTTTTCAAATTTTAAAGACTTATATAACAAAAGCTCATTTTTACTTTGGCACTAAAATAGATTTGTTTTGAAGAAAGTGTCCAAATTGGATATTACATATTACAATAGCCCGCAGTTTTCAATTCACCAACCCAATAAAATTACATGCAAAATCAAAGCTTAAGCTAACGTTAAGCTTAAAATGAAATGGAATAACGTTCTTCACTGGGTTTTCTTAATGTGAATAATGTGTTCGTTTCAATGTTATTCAATGATTAAGTACAATCTCAAGTACTTAAACAAAATTTGTGCTTAAGGATCTCAAACTTTAGCTGAAAAGCTGTTTTCAAAAGGATTATTTTCTCAAAAATCAAAAGAGTTGCCAGTTTTTTCGAAAGATTTTTTAAATCTATCAACATTTTTCGCTAGATTTATGAGTTTGTGTAAAAATTAAAATAAAACAAAGCACGGGAACTTTAAAGTCATCTCAATGAACTTATGACCACATCACAGAAATAACCACTAGCCCTCTGAGCCGTCTGGAGACAGTCTTTGAAGACCAAAACTTATTAGCTAGTTTGTATGTTTACAAGGCTCATAAGCAGGTAATTTTCATAAAATTTGACTTGTCTTTCCAAGCTCTACAAGATGTGCTATACTGCATATTGAGATTCCACCGAGCTCCAACCGGTTTCTTGTTAACAAGTTAACTCAAGCTAACTGAAAATTTGGCATTTCTTTTGTGTAAATTTGGCATTTCTTGAAAACCAGTTCTTCAATCGTTCTGAAAATTTGGCTATAAGCCTAATTTTTGATTCTCTACAACTTTTCCATTGATACCAAAATGGGTTTCTTTTGAAGAAAGTGCTCAAACTGTCACATATAACAATAGCCGGCAGTTTTCAATTCACCAATCCAACAGAAATTGATTGCTTTCTCATTTTAATACAAAATTTATCAATAAAACAAAAAACAACAAAAAAAAACAAGTAAAACAATACTTTCAATCGAATCTGACAAAGCAAATGATTTGAAAACAAAAAAGAGACGACGACGCGGCGCTCCCATCAACTACCTCCAAATGGCGGCGACGTCAATTGGAATGCGACGTTGCGCGAAAATTAAGCTTTGAAAGGGAAATCTTTTTGGAAATTTGCTAAAGGCTAATTTTTGATTCTCTACAACTTTTCCATTGACACCAAAATGGGTTTCTTTTGAAGAAAGTGCTCAAACTGTCACATATAACAATAGCCGGCGGTTTTCAATTCACCAACCCAATAATTTAGGCGTTGCACAAGGAAATAATTTGTGTTGTCGTTTTTGAACATCTTGTAAAATTTTGGAAACGAAAAAATGAGTACAATTTTAAAAATTTTAAGCTGATAAAATCTTTATCTATTATTTTATAAAAAATGCCGAAGTTTTAAGCAAATTCTCTTTGTTTTCGTTTCAAAAAAACCCTCTTTGAGTCATTTTTTTGCCCTCACCTCTGACTCAAATCCATAAGAGCGAACTTTTGCTGACTCGGGATTTTCTTTATTCGGAACGCCCAACCAATTTCAATTTGCTTTTCGCAAAAAAAAAAGAAAATAATGTTATCCTTTGAAAACCCAACTTTTTTCAGCTTTTAATTACTTGGATATCTAAATTTTCTCAGCTTTTTCTCGAAAATTCAATTCTCTTCTAGTTTTCACAGGATTCATTCACATTTTTGAGAGGTTTTCTCATCTTGCGAATATCTGATAGGCTTTAAAATCTATGAAACTATGAATTAACTATTAAATTAAATTAAATTAACTATGAAAACTCTTGAATTGTTTTAAAAGTTCAAAAAAACCATGAAATTTACCTAATTTCCTCTTTTTTTTCCAATTTTTTGAGCAAGTTCATCTTTTTTTAAATTTTTAGTGCCTTAAATTTGTTTATAGGTTATAAAATCGAGAATAAAGTCTATTTGAAAGGAGTTATAGTTATGTCTAAACAGTTATAGTTTTGTTTAAACAGTTATAGTTATGTTTTTTCGTCCAAACCCCTGAATTTTGTGGATTTACTGATGTTAAAAGGCAAAACTTCTCGTTAATTTCTTCAAAACTTCATGCCTGATCTCTAATTTCTCTTTTTTCAAAGAAGATTCAAAGAAGATCCCAAAATTTGCGAAAGATCTCTTGTTCCCTTGACATTTAGACAAAAACATCACTGAAATTCGAGTTTCCAGTCGAAATTTGAGCTTTTCATTTAGCTAAGTTTTACGTGGATTTTTCATTTTCATTTTATCACATCAATCTCATTTAAATCTCGGTCTCGATCTCGATCTCGGTCTCGATCTCAATCTCGATCTCGATCTCCATCTCCATCTCAATCTCAAGCTTTATATTTCCAGAAAATGTCAATCCGGCATTTCTTTTTCTTGGCTCTTCTCCTCGTCGTCTCATTTGCACAATTCGAGGAAGTGAAGAGGAGAATGGGGCTCAGGTGAGGATTTATATTGATAAGGTCAATCAATTATCAATCCGCTCAATTTCTAAACACTTAAAACAAAACTTATTGATAGATAAAAGGATCACTTTTCATTTATTGTTAGCTAAAAGTTATTGATTAAATCAAAACCTAGAATAAAAAGGTTCAGGTATTTAATTGACGGTGATGCGGCAGCCGATGTCGTCGGCATGATGAAACAGCCACAAAATAGCGGAAACGCTCAACTTTTGAGAGGAAGGTGAGAGTTTGGGCTAAAACTACACTCTACACTGGCTTGTTCTTTGTGTTTAAAAAGGGAGCGCATTTTCTGGTCACAACCGAAAAGGAAGATTGAAAAGAGAAAACAAAGAGAACAGATTTCTTCAAAGTTTAGAGATTTCTTCAAAGTTCAAAGTCGAAATCAAAGCGACTTATAGCTCAGTGGCTAGAGAGTTAGCCAGGCAAAGGTTGAAACTCCTCCAGGTTCAAGTCCTGCGTCGGCATTTTTACTTTTTTGATTTACACAAGCACTACCTGCTCCAATAAGCACTACCTGCTCCAATAAAATCAAAACAAAAAAGAGATCCAATAAGCACAGAGTGATACCAAAATATCAACAAAATAGAGAAAGATTGCACAATTTTTAAAAAGAAAAGAATTAAGATCCTCTAAAGATCATTTTTTGTAAGAAAAGGGAGCAGGTTTGTTGAAAGTTTAGCGGCGAAATCGAAGCGACTTATAGTGGCCAGAGAGTTAGCCAGGCTAGAGGCTCAGTGGCTAGAGAGTTAGTCAGGCTAGAGGCTCAGTGACTAGAGAGTTAGCCAGGCTAGAGGCTCAGTGGCTAGAGAGTTAGTCAGGCTAGAGGCTCAGTGGCTAGAGAGTTAGCCAGGCTAGAGGCTCAGTGGCTAGAGAGTTAGCCAGGCTAGAGGCTCAGTGGCTAGAGAGTTAGCCAGGCTAGAGGTTCAGTGGCTAGAGAGTTAGCCAGTCTAGAGGTTCAGTGGCTAGAGAGTTAGCACCCAGGAGCGACTATCTAGATATCAGTGCCCCAGAAAGAGTTTATCCAAATAAGCACAAAGAACACCTAGTGCAGTAGTAGTCGATTCTCTGTGTCAATGACTTAAAATGGCTTTAAGTGCATCAGAAAGAATGGGGTTTTCTTTTTTGAGCTCAAATTTCACTTCAAAACATTTCCTTTCCAGATATGGTAAACGATCGAATTGGGACACGATCTTCTATTAATCTTTTCTCAAAGTTTTCCTCTTTTCTTTGATCGTCTGAAACGGTGTCTGAAAATAAAAGCTTTTGTATTTGTTTTCGAAAAAAAAGCTGTCAATGTCAATAATACAATTCGGTTTCGGTGTGAAAATGGTTCTGGATTTCGGGGAAACCTTTATTGACAGAGATTTCAAAGCACAGATTTCTTGAGTGTTTGATGTTGATGACCTGAGGGGAAATGGTCTGAGAAAATGGACATGATGGACAGGGGAAAAGATGGGGAATTGAGTGGGTGACAAGGGGGGGAAAGGAAAATCGGGAACGAGAGGGGAAAATCACGAGCTATTCGGTCGTTTTTGAAAGAGTTGCTTGTAAATTTGATGGGATTAGCCTGGATTTTCTACTTAACAATTGAAAAAATACAAACTTACTAGCAAGAGAAGCTTGCTAGTTTGCAAAATAAGCTGCAAAATAAGCTGCAAGCATAAGTTTGCAAGATCAGCTTGCTAGTTTGGGATTTTAATTAGGGCTAAAGTTTATCTTGACACGGAGATTCGAATAGTCAAAAGTCTAGTCTAACTAAGCAAAACTTTAGATTTTTCTCTTTCTTATAATATAAAAGTGTCTCAGTATACTATTTACTATATAAAAAGCAGTGTCTGTCCGTCTGTCTGTCTATCTATCTGTCCGTCTGTCCGTCTGTCCGTCTGTCTGTCTATACAGGCATTTTCTCGACCGCCTTTTGACCAATAAAGCTCACTCTTCTTTAGAAAACCTTAGAGTATCTTGTAGTTATGGCATTTATAATCAAAAATCAAAACGTCAAAACTGATTGCCACTACGAGGTGTCGAACCCGGCTCGTGTGCGTCGTAGCGAAAGCGCTCTTCCGACTACGCCATGACAACGGGACTCATGGGACCAGAAAAGCCCACCATTAAGCGAGTTTTTTCGGCTGAAACTATCAAATACGCGATTTCATTCAAAAATCCCACCAACTCTTGCATGGTTAGGTTATCAAGCTTCAGGTTTTGGTTGTAAGATTAGATTATTAGGTTAGTTTATAAGGTTAGGTTATAAGATTAGTTTATTAGGTTAGTTTATAAGGTTAGTTTATAAGGTTAGTTTATAAGGTTAGTTTATAAGATTAGTTTATTAGGTTAGTTTATAAGGTTAGGTTATAAGGTTAGTTTATAAGGTTAGTTTATAAGGTTAGTTTATAAGATTAGTTTATTAGGTTAGTTTATAAGGTTAGTTTATAAGGTTAGGTTATAAGATTAGGTTATAAGGTTAGGTTATTAGGTTAGTTTATTAGGTTAGGTTATAAGGTTAGTTTATAAGGTTAGGCTATAAGGTTAGGTTATAAGGTTAGGTTATAAGGTTAGGTTATAAGGTTAGTTTATAAGGTTAGTTTATAAACCTTATCTAGTTTTAAACATTTATAACTACAGAGCTAACATTTTCATTTGTATTTTATATATTTCAAGAGAACATTTCAAGCTTTCAGATACCAAAAAGACTTCAATTAGAACAACCGATCTTGAGGAAATCAAATAAATTACACCATAATGGGATTCTGCTTTGATTCTGCCGATTCTGCTTTGATTCTACCGATTCTGCTTTGATTTTCTCAAGATTGATCTTTCCAAATTAGCTCTATTGAGTCTTATTCGAAAATTGGAAATGTTTTCTCTTAAAATCTATAAAATACAAACGAAAATGTTATCTCTGTAAAAAGTTATAAACATTTAAAGTTTGGCTTTTCACTCAAAAGTCATTTAAACGATTCAAGAGGCAAATAAACATTGAATCTAGCTATTCTAGCTATTCCTAGTCTAGTTATTCCTAGGTAGCTCTAGTTAGCTCATCTAGTTATTCCTAGTTAGCTTTTCCATTCAAAATATTATTTGAATTCGAATTTTTAGATATCTAGATCCTTTTAGATGACTAAATTTCAAGAAAAGTTTAGCAAAATAAGTCAATTTTTTAATCATTTTGTTCTAAGCGCTGGTTAATGCTAGAAATATGTGCTATATCTTAAAATATTACCCATTTTCTCTACTTTAATTTGATACCAAAGCGAGCTGAAACTAAGGTACTAGTGGAGAGATATGAGCGTTTATTTGAGAGCAAACTTCAGCTTTAATAGGGTGGGTAATATTGCAAGATTGTATTGTAATATTGTAAGTATTTATCTAAAAGTTATCACCGAAATACTACTGTTTCACTGACAAAGTTTACAATTAGATTTCTACCCAATTTTCTTTCAACGAACACTATTTTCTAGCCTGTTAGCGGCTCGCATAGAGCTCGCAACATTGCTCAATTCTTCTCAACACAAAGATTTGTAAAGGATTCAATGATTTCTTTCATCAAAGTCAATTTGAGTCAGAAAAGAAGAGATGAAAGAAGAACAGAGCAAATCCGAGTCACGAATGCACACTTTACCGAATCAGAGTCGAAATAAGCCGCAGTTTCTTTTTTGGGTGACTCTTTCAGTTATTCCCCCTTTTCTTAATCCCCTTTTTCTTTTTGGTTGGTGAAACTCTTGGGGGGGAATAGTCCACACTTCCGTAACTGTATTTACCAAGTCACCATTTTTCTTTTCTCTCCTTCCCCCAGGCTGACACCTCAATCCATCCAAAATAGGGAAAAGGGGAGATGTCAATGTGAGGTGCTTTCCCTAGCTTTCCTTAGCTTTCCTTAGCTTTTCCTTCCTAACCTAACCCCAAGCCTCGTACCTTTTCTCTTTCTTTTTAATTACTTCATTTAGCTCTTAATAATTAGAATATTAGATATTAGATTAAATTGATGTTCTTTGGATGTAAACTTTACTTACTGTAAAAAGAAAAGGTTTAAATCCAATTTAAAGGCTTAAATCTATTTAAAGGCTTGAATCCATTTAAAGGTTTGAATCCATTTAAAGGTTTGAATCCATTTAAAGGTTTAAATCTATTTAAAGGTTTGAGTCCATTTAAAGTTTAAATCCATTTAAAGGTTTAAATCTATTTAAAGGTTAAATCCATTTAAAGGCTTAAATCCATTTAAAGGTTTAAATCCAATTTAAAGGTTTGAATCTATTTAAAGGTTTAAATCCAATTTAAATCTATTCTACATTTGATTCAGAATCTCTTCTTTAAGCTTAAAAGAAACGTTTAAACGTTTTCTAAAAGGTGAAAAATTTAGAAAACTATCGTAAACTTTATTTCAGATCAAATTCTATTGATTTCTTTGATCATTCCTGAGATTCCTGAGATTCCTGAGATCCTCATTCATTTGAAATATTTAAATTGACGAAAACTTATAGCAAGCACTTAAAAAACATTTTTTGATCTTTGATTTTGATCCTTTTCGTTTAATATTTTTATCTAACCAGATAATTGAATATATTTCGTTTTTTTTTAAACTTTTTGAAGTCTTTTGAACTTCTAAATTCTAATTTCAGGCTTCAAGCCAAAATGAAGATCCTAGTAGCCTCGTTGCTACTAGAGCTAGCAGCATGCCAAGTTTATTACACTTATCCTCGACAACAACAAAGGTAATCCAACACAGAAGTTTATTGAAAATCATGTTTTAGACAACAATACTACCCTGTGCGCACGAATTGTCACACTCCTTGTCAACAACAGCGGTACCGATGGAATTATCGGCCACAACCTATTCAACCACAAGGTGAAAAAAGAAAATTTGTGTTTTTGAAGATGATTTTAGAAGTTTGCCTTGCTAAAATTGCTCAAACTCTATTCAAATTAAGAGTAAAATGAAACTTTTCACTAATTATTTCTATATATTTACGTCTTTTAATTGATATGAAGCTGTGAAGCCCCATAAAATGAGAGTAAGACAATTTTTTAAAGCATAAAGGGTACGCTGAAAGTTTTGTCACCTAGATTTTAAACCAAATACCAATGAAATTTCGATCTTTTTAAGCTTTTTTTATCAAAATTGAGTAAAAACGTATAAAAAGCGTTAAATAAAATGTTCTCCCAGAAGAATTCTACCGTAAATACTGTAATAGTACCCCACCCCCATAATGACGGCCGGAGCATCGCGTAGTCTAGCTTTGAACGAGTTTTTCTCGACACTGGTTTATGCTACAATGCTCGTTTAGGTATCAAAAAATAGCCCTGAATTTCAGCTATTTTTTGATACCAAAGACGCATTTTTTGAAAGTACGGACGCTTTGAAAAGAAATGAAATACCGTATTTACTCTATTAGTGGGGTCCTCTCTAATAGTGGGGTCCTCTCTAATAGTGGGGTCGTCTGGAGGGGGGTTGAAAAAATAGTGGGGTCCTCTCGAATTGGAAGAAGATATTGGTAACGAAAGTGATACATCAATTGTTGATCTCTTGGATTAGTTCTTTTACTGTTTGTTAATGTTTTGTTACGGTTAAAGCTAAATAAAATATGAAGGCAAACTTGTTTTGTCAAGAATTTCGGAGAAAAATTGATATCTTTTCAATTTAAAACTTTGGTTTTATGTTCTTTTAAATTTCTCTAATAGTGGGGTCCTCTCTAATAGTGGGGTCGTCTGGAAGGGGATTGAAAAAATAGTGGGGGACCCCACTAATAGAGTAAATACGGTACTAGAAAACTTTTGCGACTACGCGACTAGTCTAACTTCTTTCTAGAAAATCATCTTTTTCTCAGCTCCTAGACTTTTTCTAGATACTATTTTGATACCAAAAAAATACTAGATTTCAAGGGTTATCATTTGATACCCAAACGAACACTGTAGCATATACCAGTCTCGAGAAAAACACGTTCAAACTTAGACTACGCGGCCATTCGCGTGCGGAGTCTAGCTTTGAACAAGTGTTTCTCGATACTTGTTTATGCTACAATGCGCGCTTAGGTATCAAAAAAATAGCTGAAATTCAGGGCTATTTTTTGATACCAAAGACACATTTTTTGAAAGTACGGGCGCTTTGAAAAAAATGAAATACTAGAAAACTTTTGCGACTACGCGACTGTACGAGGGCGCTGGGGTACTATTACAGTATTTACGGTAACTATACTTTCTACTTTCTACTTTCTCCTTTCTAACAATCAAAACCTAGATTACTACAAAAAAAACTCAAAACTTTAAGCCCTTTTAAAGCCTTTCTCAAATCAATTTCTATCGCTTCTCATCCGGCAGCCACCATATTCCAGAAAAAGTTCTCCTAGGCTACTAGAGTCATTCCTAAAGTTGTACTGGTCTTAATCTTCGAAATGAACCGATGAAATCAATCTCGCAATAATACCGTAAATACTGTAATAGTGTACCCCACCCCCATAATGACGGCCGGAGCATCGCGTAGTCTAGCTTTGAACGAGTTTTTCTCGACACTGGTTTATGCTACAATGCTCGATTAGGTGTCAAGAAATAGCCCTGAATTTCAGCTATTTTTTGATACCAAAGACGCATTTTTTGAAAGTACGGGCGCTTTGAAAAGAAATGAAATACTAAAGACTGTCTAACATTTTAGAGATCATTTCCTGTTATTAAATGTTTCTCTTTATGTTAAAAAGTATCAAAATGTATTAACAAGAAGAATTAGACAGTTTAACGACGCTGTTAGATTAATTAGACAGTTTAACTAAGATGAGAAGCTAAAGTACGAGTTCGGGTAATCCTGGAGTCAGAATTGATTAGAGTAACGTATTTGAATCTAGATCAGACCAGGAAAATGACTGCACAATGTTTGTAGAAAGTATGGTTGGCTACTGAAAGATGGAACAGATTTCTCTTTACTCAAACTTTTGAGGAAACTTTAAACGCAGCATGTGCTATGTTCTTTACCGGGTCCTAAATTTAGGCCAACATATCATCACGTTCCCTATTGTGATCACTCTTCGACCCCCGGTCATTCAACCACCACCGCCTGGTCAACCAATAAAACCCCCGCAACCGATTGGATCAACAACCGTTCCACCAACTCCTGTACCCGAACTACCATCTCCTCAACCGGTGAACCCGAATGCGATTGTTCCGACAAAGTGGAGACCAATTTCTTCTCCATCTACTTTACCCACTCCACCACCTGAGAGCTCAACGGTGCTCACGACGCAGAGCACGACTCCGACAACGAGAAGCACGACAACGACAACTACAACAAACAACTACAACTACAACAAGATCTACAACAACGACAACGACTACTACAACTAGCACAAGTCAGACCTCAACTTTGACCACTGCGCCGTCTGCTGAGAGCTCCAGTCTTCCAACGCCACCACCAGAAAGTGAGTTGGAAAATGATCATGTAAATCTAATCAAAGCTGACAATGTCTGACAGTTATCAATTAATTGAATGATTCAAAACCATTAAGATCACTCTTTACCAATCACAAAACTTTACCCATCACTTTGCACTTTGAATTTGTCTCATCTGATCACTTACAATCAAAAAATCTATCTGTTCTAGATCAATCACGAAATTTACAGTGATCCAATCCTAATTAGCACTCCGTAAACTCACCCTTTTAGCTCAAACAATCGATCCACGTTTACCCACTCCACCACCGGAGACTCCACCACCACCGGGGAGACATTCAGCCGCTCCAATCTACATGCATCCTGAGAGAAAAACGACTATTGGATCGAGAAATGCTTTCAGAGGTAAGTTTGCAAAGAACAACTCATTTTCAACTGCACTAGACTCACTTCACAAAACTCACTGTACTTTTGGATCATTGTCCGCTCAATTATTGAATTTATGAGAAAAAAATAGCTCTATTTTGCAACTTTTACCCTAAATAGACTCGATGAAAGGATTCAATATTGTTTTAAAGCTCTAGCTCTAGCTCTAGCTTCAAAAGTCGGATGAATATCTTGATCTGGTACTAGCAGCACTGAAATTTGACAGTAATCCGCTTTTGGTAGCTTTTTAATGCCAACATTCAACTCCAAACTGCTAAGTGTTATATAGAATATTAAAGCCTGAATTGTTGGCTACATTTCTGTACTTAAATGTTTTTGATTGAAAGCCTACAACTCATTTTTCAGACTCTTGAATAACTTGTTCCAAAGATCACCTCCATGCTGCCGCTTTCGCCCGTTTTCTAACAAAAAAAAGAGTCTTTTTTCTAGCAAAATTATATTTGTTTTTATTTTGAAATTTATTTAACAAGTTCTTAGTGTTAAAACTTCTCAAAGAAACGCGACACAAGGTGAATTGAATGTTGACCTTGACCACTCAAAGAGGCTTGTCTTCAATTCATGTTTTGGTCATGCTAACTTTGTTCCATGCTAACTTTGTTTCATCAAAATGATCTGTGGCTATTACAGCACAAGAAAATTTACCTTTTCTATGTAAAAGCCATGGAAAAAACTTTCCCTAAAGTTTTTTTTTGTTAGAAAACGGGCGAAAACGGCAGCATGGAGGTGATCTTTGGAACAAGCTCATTCAAGAGTCTGAAAAATGAGCTGTAGGCTTTCAATCGGAAACATTTAAGTACAGAAATGTAGCCAACAATTCAGGCTTTAATATTCTATATAACACTTAGCACTTTGGAATTGAATGTTGGTATTAAAAGCTACGAAAAGGGTGTGCTTGGAATTAAAGTAGTGCTTAAACTAGTACTAGCAGTGCTTAGACTAATACTAGCAGTGCTCAGACTAGTACTTGCAGTGCTTAGACTAGTACTAGCAGTGCTTAGACTAGTACTAGCAGTGCTTAGACTAGTACTAGCAGTGCTCAGACTAGTACTAGCAGTGCTTAGACTAGTATTAGCAGTGCTTAGACTAGTACTAGCAGTGCTTAGACTAGTACTAGTAGTGCTTAGGCTAGTACTAGCAGTGCTTAGACAAGTACTAGCAGTGCTTAGATTTTAAATCTTCCTAAATGAGATGTAGAAATTCTGAAATTCTGAGATGTAGTTGAAGTCATGAATCTCTAGAAACTCTAGAAACTCTAGAAATTCTACTTTCTTCTAGAAATTTCAAGACTAAAGTAGCAGCTAATCAATTGGTCTTATGGACTTGTCTAAAAGTATACAACTCACTAAAACTATAAGAAAATTGAAACAAAAAAAAGCAAAAAAGTAACACTCATCTCAACTCATCAACAATACTAAACGTATCACTCGTAAAGCAACAAAGAATCCTATCTTATTTTAGGTGCTGTTCCCTCAGAGTTCACAAATCCTTGTGCAGCCGGTCGAGCGTTGACCAATCAATTCAATGTTCCACTAACTTGCAATCATTTGAATCCACCAAATGGAGGATGTCCAGAGGTTGATTTTAAATGAAAAAACAATATATAATTTTACTTAAAAAGTGTTTAGGATTTCTGGTGTCACGTGGGTGCGACTTTTGCCACCACCGCTTGTTGCCCGTTGGTTACTAGAGGTGAGTTTGGATTTGGATTTGATGATTCTAATGATAAGTTGACTTTTCTAGTGTTTTTGATGCATTTATCAGTCCTTTATGATTATTAAAGATCTTTACGATCTTTATTAAAGCTATTTACACTAAAGAAAGCAAGTGTAAAGTGGATAGAAAACTTAAAACTTCAATTTTTCCAAAGCTACAGGGTGCGTCATAATTATTGCAACAAGATACTCAAGGCATTACACACCAAGAAGTTTCACTGGAAGAAGATTTTTAAACAGAAATAGCTTTATTTAACAGTAACAAATAAGGAAACAAGAGATCATTCGATATGACCGCCTTTTGCCTTGATAACAGCCCTTAATCGGTTCGGATATGCCTCCACTGCGGCCCGAATGTCATCTTGAGGAGTCGCCTTCCATCCTTTGGTCAAAGACTTCTTCAAAGAATCCAAACTTGTGTGTTTTCGAGAGCAGACATTAGCCTCTAAGATTGCCCAAATGGAAAAGTCCATCACATTGAGATCCGGTGAGTTTGGAGGCCATTCATCCTTGGTGATCACTGAGGGAAAGTTGGCCACACACCAGTCCTGAACCGTCTTCTTCGTGTGAGCGGGAGCTCCATCTTGCATGAAGGTCCAATTTTGATTGTTATTGGCTTTACACGCCCATGACATCACATTCTTGACCTCACATTCTTGACCTCACATTCTTGACCTCACATTCTTGACATCACAAACGGTCTTTGAACTCTTGTTGCAATAATTATGACGCACCCTGTATAACTTCGTAGCCTTCCAGTGCTTTCCAGTGATTAAATCAATCTTTTAAAAGTTGAATTTGTTCATTTTTAGACTTCTAATCTAATCTTTTAATCTTTTTTGATCTTTTTTAGAAGATCGTTGTCTGTTGGAGCGTTCCGTTGGTGCTGGTGATGACTTGATCGCTCGTTGGTATTATGATCCAGCGTTGAGGTAAACATATATCCAAAAAAAAAAGTCACAAAAGATCAAAGAAAAATCCTCACAATCGTCTCATCACTTTCTCATTTACAGAGAGTGCAAAAGGTTTCTTTACAAGGGAATGCGCGGCAATGCAAACAATTTTGTCACGAAAACCCAATGTTTGGACGTCTGCGCATCGAGTGAGTCTTTTTTGGAGGGGAAAGGAGCTTTTTTTTGACCCCAACTCAAGACTGTAGGGGTTTAATAAAGTTTAGAGATGAAAATAAAGAAATTAAATGAAAAGTTAATAGTGAAATCTTGTTTGTTTGAGGCTTAAAACCCTTAAAAAACAAAGGGTTTTTTAAGGGTCAGCTTTTTGGCCAACTTGCAGCTCATTTTTAAGCACCTTAAACCTATCAGATTAGAAAGTTTTAATAAGATTTAGATACCTTAAAATATCAGCTTTTAAAAACTATTTGTTTTATCAATAGTTATTAACAAAAACATAGCTAAAATTGGGCTGCAAGTTGGCCAAAAATTGGCAAGTTGGCCAAAATCCCCCTGATAACCGTAAAGCACCAAACAAAGTAAAGAAAATTTTTGAATTTGCTGATTGCTGAAGTGAGCTGATTGATTTTCGTGTTGCTAGCTTGCTTGCTTTTGTCATAAATCAATTTCAATCATTCAGAGTTTACTCGAAACTTACAATTCTAGCTGAGAAAAGCAAAGAAGAAAGCAAAGAAAAGAAAAGAAAAAAGCAAAGAAGAAAGCAAAGAAAAGCAAAGCAAATATGCATCTATTCTGTAATTGTAGACTACTTTTTTTACGTGTAATTAATTTAGAGTCAATCCCAGAGCCAGTAAACCCATGTAAATTCGGAGTGCCCGCCATTGATGCGTCCGGTTCAAAGCTCGAATGTGGCCCAAAGAATATCACCTGTCCAAAGGGACATTTCTGTCATATCGGCGATAATCCGGTCAACACGGCTTGTTGTGAGGGATCTGGACGTATGTTTAAATTGATTTTCTTATGAGAAAGTAAGAAAAATCTTAAAAGTCTTCTTAAAGTCTTCTTAAAGTCTTCTTAAAAGTCTTCTTAAAGTCTTGTTAAAGTCGTCTTAAAGTCTTCTTAAAGTCTTCTTAAAGTCTTCTTAAAAGTCTTCTTAAAGTCGTCTTAAAGTCGTCTTAAAGTCTTCCTAAAGTCTTCTTAAAGTCTTCTTAAAAGTCTTCTTAAAGTCTTCTTAAAAGTCTTCTTAAAGTCTTGTTAAAGTCGTCTTAAAGTCGTCTTAAAGTCTTCTTAAAGTCTTCTTAAAGTCTTCTTAAAAGTCTTCTTAAAGTCGTCTTAAAGTCGTCTTAAAGTCTTCTTAAAGTCTTCTTAAAGTCTTCTTAAAAGTCTTCTTAAAGTCGTCTTAAAGTCGTCTTAAAGTCTTCCTAAAGTCTTCTTAAAGTCTTCTTAAAAGTCTTCTTAAAGTCTTCTTAAAAGTCTTCTTAAAGTCTTCTTAAAAGTCTTCTTAAAGTCTTGTTAAAGTCGTCTTAAAGTCTTCTTAAAGTCTTCTTAAAAGTCTTCTTAAAGTCTTCTTAAAAGTCTTCTTAAAGTCTTCTTAAAAGTCTTCTTAAAGTCTTGTTAAAGTCGTCTTAAAGTCGTCTTAAAGTCTTCTTAAAGTCTTCTTAAAGTCTTCTTAAAAGTCTTCTTAAAGTCGTCTTAAAGTCGTCTTAAAGTCTTCTTAAAGTCTTCTTAAAGTCTTCTTAAAAGTCTTCTTAAAGTCTTCTTAAAAGTCTTCTTAAAGTCTTCTTAAAAGTCTTCTTAAAGTCTTCTTAAAAGTCTTCTTAAAGTCTTCGTAAAGTCTTCTTAAAAGTCTTCTTAAAAGTCTTCTTAAAGTCTTCTTTAAACTCTTACATCTTTCATTCAGAAGTCTTTGATGGAAAGAGACGAAATGGGAAAGGTAAAATTGAAGCTAGTTTTAGAAATTCATTTAAGAACTCGAAATATTTGATGTTATCTTAAGAAATCGTTTTCTAAAGGGTGCTCTTAAGTATTTTCTTTTTAAAGTACATTTTAAAGTACCTCTTAGAGAACGATTTTATCAAGATGAGCTCAAAAATTTGGTTCTTTAAATGGGTTATTCTTTGAGAAAACCCTAGTTCACACTTATCCCCACAAAATCAGTTTTTTCGATCTGTCATGGAAGCAATTTTTTCTGTTTATCCCCCTTGTTTCTAAACAAATCAAATGAATTTACTATTCTTTTCAAATTTTAGTTTCCGATCCTTGCCTTTTATCGATCAATGTTGGAACGGGAAGTGGTGGTGTGAAGAGATTCTATTACAATACGTTGACCAAGAAATGCACTGAGTTCCTCTTCAAAGGAATGAAAGGAAATGAGAATAATTTCTTGTCGATGGAACAATGTCAGACAAAGTGTCAAAGTGAGTGCAAAAAGAAGATAATAAATGATGGAAAGTGTTGAGAAAATAGTCAAAAATTGACCAATAGTCAAAAATTTAGACATTAGTTAGGTTTCTACAAGAGAATTTCTCCCATGATTGACATATTTAAGTGTCCAGGCTTCTGGACACTTAAATATGTGTCCAGGCTTCTGGTAAGCTCTAAGCATTTGCGCAGCTGTAGTAAAAGTGCCAAGCTGTAATAGAAATCAGGTAAAGATTTTCGGAGAAGGGATTGAACTCTTGGCCTTTTTGCTTTCTGGGCAATTGCTCTAACCACGGAGCTATCCGGTATTTTCTTGCCAGTGAAGAAAGAGGGAATACAAGGGAGAATAGAAAGGAAGCTGGAGAAGGAAATACCCGGCTCTTCACTACTTGAAGATCAGAACACAAAGCCAGAAGAAGTGCTAAAGCCAGAAGAAGTGCTAAAGCCAGAAGAAGTGCTAAAGCCAGAAGAAGTGCTAAAGCCAGAAGAAGTGCTAAAGCCAGAAGAAGTGCTAAAGCCAGAAGAAGTGCTAAAGCCAGAAGAAGTGCTAAAGCCAGAAGAAGTGCTAAAGCCAGAAGAAGTGCTAAAGCCAGAAGAAGTGCTAAAGCCAGAAGAAGTGCTAAAGCCAGAAGAAGTGCTAAAGCCAGAAGAAGTGCTAAAGCCAGAAGGCTGCTAAAGCCAGAAGGCTGCTAAAGCCAGAAGGCTGCTAAAGCCAGAAGGCTGCTAAAGCCAGAAGGCTGCTAAAGCCAGAAGGCTGCTAAAGCCAGAAGGCTGCTAAAACCAATCCAAGATCTAGCATTGATGGCCAGATTACTGCTGGCCTAATCAAACCAGAATCTATCGCCCCAATAGCCAAACTATAAGTGTTTTAGCAGAAATCTGGGAACTGTAAGACAAACTAGGGTCGGGCCTAGCCTGGTTTATGGAGGACCCAAAGATTTTCATGCCGTAAAGCCAACATAGGTCAGATCTAGTCCTGGATTGGTTCTAGACTTTCTTGGTCTAGAAAAGTTATCTTTAAATGCACCTAATCCGTTTGAATCCTAATCGACAACGTTTCCAGGACTCCCCACTCCGTGCCCACTTCCAATGAACCCATCTTTCCGGCGCGAGTGCTCGACTGATGGAAACGAGTGTGGACAGGGTGATTGGTGTCACATTGGACACAACAAGGAGACAACCGTTTGTTGTGCGGGAGGTAATTGATTGCAAGAATCATAGTATCATTTATTATCAATATTCTAGCCGTCCAAGATCCCTGTGCACAGACTTTGGTCTACGGAGAGGGAACTCAGAATCTCACCAGATGGTATGCCGATCCATCAGACAACACGTGTAACCGAAAATGTCTTCCATTCATCTACAACGGAGAGAAGGGAAATCAGAATAATTTTGTCTCAAAAGAAGCCTGTGAGAAACGATGCAAACGTGAGAAATTCTAGGCTTTAATGCTTAATGCTTAATTCCTAAATTCGATTCCTTGAATATTTATTAACTTCTTACTGATCGACTATTCCTTTTATTAACTAAATGTTTTGTCATTACAGTAAATAATTGAGTACTTTAGCTGAATGCAAGAACCCTTGTGGATCCGGAACAATGCTGATGTTGGCTGGACGACCGAGACAATGCTCACCGACATCTCCATGCCCACACACACATTGGTGCCACGTTGGATCAACACCAGAATTGACTGTTTGCTGTTCGGCTGGTAGGTTTAAAAACTAACAAAAGTAACTAACAAAAGGTTTTAAGCAAAAGAAAAATTTTTGACCGTGGCAGGACTCGAACCTGCAATCTTCGGATTCGAAGTCCGACGCCTTATCCATTGGGCCACACGGCCAGGTGATTGGGGAAGCGAGAAAGTCGATAGAAAGTCGATATTGCTATTATCGCGGAGATTGTTATTATTATATTATCATAAGGCTCATTTCACAAGAGACTTTATGCAAAGTAGTATTCTGTAGCCAAAAGTATACTGTAGCCAAAGGTGTACTATGGCCAAAGGTGTACTGTAGCCGAAAAACATTCTCTTATTCTAAATATAGAAGATTTGGAAGATTTGGACTGGGAAAGGACTAACTTCCATTTTACTATAGCTTCAATATCCTTTTGAATTAAGTAGAAAAAGTGTGGAGGATCGGGAGCATTGTTTTTGATAGGAATGGTGAAAGTTATCTTGATGTCATCGGTGTAAAGCCAAATGTGGAAAAAAATATAGATTTTAAAGAGTCATGTTTGATTGAAAGACCGGGAATCACAACAGAGATTGGAGAAAAGTTTTGGTCACTTATTTGAGATGAATAAGATAAGTGAAAAGCTGAGCTGTTCGATTAGATTTAGAACCACGAATATCGGGGTCGATTTAGAAAGACATTTGCATTTGTGGCTGATCGATGACGATAGGCGCCACTGTTAAAGAGAGCCGATTCGCTGAGAGTTGTGCTGAAAGCTAACCTACACGAGTATGCAGCTCGGTCATAATTTCTTTACCAAACAAAGTCATTCAAATGCTCGGAACCGTATTGGAACCGATACTGTAAGTCTAGACAGGCTTTAGTCTAGACAAAATGTGAATGGGGAATAGAAATCAACGACCCAGTTTAACGGACTGAGAAAGGACCGAGAATGACTGAGAAAGGAAACTTTTCGTGTTACTCATCTTAATTAATAGTTTAACTACCAAAATTTGATTCAAAATCTCATTCAAATTCCAGTGCCTAACACCTGTGAGCTTCCATTGTCGCTCGGTTATGGAAACGCGCATCTTTCTCGTTTCTACTTTGATGCTAAACTGAAAAAATGCGTGGCTTTCATTTACAAGGGAGAAGGCGGAAATCAGAATATGTTCTTGACAAAGGATGACTGTCAATTGATCTGTCCAGCTTACGAAAACCCGTGTGGGAATGGAAAACCGCTGTTGATCGGATCGGAGCCAAAGGTTTGTAAAAATAGCTAAAAAATAGATAAAATAGGCAAAGATCTGAATGTGCTTTTAGTTAAATGTAAATTAGTCCAGGAAACTCGAAAAGGGTCAATTTTAGATTTGCAATCCGATGGATCGATGCCCATCCACTCATTTCTGTCATATTGGAGCCCCAGGCAGTCCAAACTATTGCTGTGCTAAAAGTGAGCAAGACTAACAAGCCTGGAGAGTCGATTTTAGTCGATTTTAATCGATTTTAATTGATTTTAGTCGATTTTAGTCGATTTTAATCGATTTTAGTCGATTTTAATCGATTTTAGTCGATTTAAGCCTTGAGATTTTAGATGGAGATCCATGTGAACAAGATGTTGATGCTGGAAACGGAACCCACACCCTTCAACGCTTTTACTACGATCGACAAACGAGACGATGCCGCGAATTTCAATACAAGGGCACTCAAGGAAATGCAAATAATTTCTTGAGTAACGAGGATTGCGAATTAGTGTGCCCTGGTGAGTGAATATTTCATTTAATACTCTAGGATTAGGCGTAAGTTTTTAGATATAGCACAAACAAATTCAAAATACAAAGTGCGGCATTTATAGCGTTGCGCTTAATGAATCTTTTTGGCTTTCTAAGAAAAAACATTAAGCTAAGCTGAAAAGCAACAATTAATCTTAAAATCTATCATAATTATACATAGAATAGAAGAGCCGTAACATTTTTTTAATGACTTTGACAACCCTAGCCAAGCTGTACAAAAATGCTATGTTGCACGATGCTAAAAACAGTTTAATTCGAGTTTTGGGTCTCTAAAAAATCGTCTTTTTCCATCTTTTTCTGCATTAATACGTTTTTAGAGTTAATTACTATAAAAATAATGCTTTTTAAGCTCTATTATTCCAAATGCTAGCTTATCTTGGCTAACAAAAGTGGACACATTTTTTGACAAATTTCATTTTTCGAGCAATCAACTTTGATTGAGGGTTTTTGGTAGTAAATCCAACGAACGGGTGTTTGTCTTTTGGCAATAATAAAATGTGATTTAATGGATAGATTAAAAAACTGACACCAGGCAAAAAAAAAACTGTCAAGAAGATGAATGATAGTGAGCCCGAGAATCTGTAGCTTATAGTCAGGAAAAGTTAGGGCCAAGTTAGGGCGGTCAGATGTCTAAAGCTGATTACAGAGTCCAGCATCTATAGTGTTGCGTTTTATGCATCTTTTTATCTTTCTAAGACAACCTAAGTTGAAAAACAACAATTATTCAAAATCTATACGTAATTTTCCATAGAATAGAAAAACTGTAACATTTTTTTGATGACTTTGCCAAGCAGTACAAAAATGCTATGTGGCATGATGCTAAAAACAATTTAATTCGAGTTTGGGGCCTCTAAAAAATAGAAAATCGTCTTTTTCTGCATTAATACGTTTTTAGAGTTAAATACTATAAAAAGTCGTGCTTTTTGAGCTCCTATAGAAGTAGTGCATTATTGCAAATGCGAGCACATCTTGGCTAAACAAAAGTGAGCATATTTTTTGACAAATTTCAAGCAATCACTTTTAAAGTCTTATCTGAAACAAATGAAGTTTTCAATTTTTGAATGAATTTAGTAAAAAAAAGTCTCTAGTTCTTAAAGATCTAAACGAAAAACCTGTGAACTCTTATGGTTTTTGAGAAAATCATCGTTTTCTAGAGCTCAACACAATATATGCCGCAGTTCATTGAGTTCATTGTAAGTTCATTGAGCTGTCTTTAAAGTTCTCGTGATTTGTTTTATTTTAAAGTGTTGAAAAGACGAGGAAAACGACTTTAGCCAAGTCGACTCTCAGTTTAAAATATTCTCAATTCAGTCTTGCCAAACCCGTGCAAAGATGGTGAACCATTGTTGTCACCTGAAAGAGAACCAGTGATTTGTGGAGGAGAGGACACTTGCACAGCCGGTTATTTCTGTCATGTGGGCAGCTCACCCGAAACTACGAATTGTTGCCCTGGAAGTGAGAAACTATGACTCTTAAAAGATTTACTCGCTGTAACTGAGTTAACTTGTTAACAAGAAACCGGTTGGAGCTCGGTGGAATCTCAATATGCAGTATAGCACATCTTGTAGAGCTTGGAAAGATGAGTCAAATTTTATGAAAATTACCTGCTTATGAGCCTTGTAAACATACAAACTAGCTAATAAGTTTTGGTCTTCAAAGACTGGCTCCAAATGGCTCAGTAGTTAGTGCATTTCTTTGCGAAGCTAAGAGTCCGAGTTCGATTTCTTTTAGAGTTTTTCATTTTCTTTTTTTCACGATTTAAAAGGAATTTTTGTTGTGGTTTTTGTTAGAATTTGTTATACGGTATATCAAGATTCCTCTAACCGGTTCCTTGTAAGATTGTAGAGCAAAGCTTTAGTTCTGAAGCTCAACCAAGTTCATAACTAGTTCATAACTAGGTTCATAACAAGTTCATAACTTTTAGCTCGCAAACCGTGCGATTTGCAGCTGGAGGTCGGTGAGGGAGCTGAGCGTTTGGATCGATGGTTTTTCGATGGATCCGTGCAAATGTGTCGACAATTTATCTATAAAGGAATGAAAGGAAATGCGAACAATTTCCTCACAAAAACCGCATGTCGACAAGCGTGCAAAGGTCGGTTTCAGATTCAACCAATTTGCATTGCATTGCATGATTAAAATGCCTTGAAAATGGTATTCAATTTTGAAAGATGAACCCAATTATTGTTGCATTGTAAAGATTTTCAGAAGTTAATCCCTGTGGTCTTGGCGGTGAGCCATTTGTGGACAAAAACGGCGATCGACTTTCATGTCTTCCAACATTGGCTGTAAGTTTTGAAGTTAAATTCCTGAAAATTCGAATTTCTCGGAACATAGGCTTGATTGTAAACTGTAAATTGAGTAAATTCAATTCCAGAACGACACCTGTCCCACCAATTTCTACTGCCACGTCGGAGGAAACGCTCTCACCACCGTTTGTTGTCCACGATCGAGTGAGTGATGTTAAAAAAGTTTATTAATACCAAAAGAGCCTATCAAAAGACAAAAAAACTTGATTAAACTGTCAATAAAAGGAAAATTCTAGCGAAAAAATCATTTCAATATTTCAAAACCAGAAATTCTGAGATCAGTTTGACTACCCTGGCTTTGAAAAGCTAAAAAACCTATTCAGAAGTATTTTTCCGCAAAAAAAGCTTTAGCCATCGATCTATGCGAGCAACCAAAACAAGAAGGAGTCGGTCGGCAACAGATCCCTCGATGGTATTACGATTTGAAACAGAATAGGTAACTATTGTACTAATATAGAAGTTTTAGGTTGATGCATAAGTCTTTACAATTTTTTTCAAATTTTTGTTTCCATGAAAAAGAATCCTTTAGCAAATCTTAAACTATTAAAAAGGTCCGTCATTTCTCTACAAAATAGCTTTTGAGAGAAAGCTCAAAGCTCGTCTCAACTCGGTAAAAACTATTGGGTTGGTGCATTGAAAAGTGCCGGACTTTGAACTAAAATTTATTCAACATAAAACGATCAATTCATTCCAAATAATTTCCATTATTATTGACGATTTCTGCCCATTTTACAGGCAATTTGCGGATTCCTCTTTCGTAGTAGGATTTTGGTTTGTGTGTGAGACAAGTGTGAGACTCAAAAATCGAGGACTGGAGGTGTCAGCCGTCAGCCCAGTTTGAGCACTTTCTTCAAAAGAAACCCATTTTGGTGTCAATAGAAAAGTTGTAGAGAATCAAAAATTAGGCTTATAGCCAGATTTCCAAATAGATACACTTAGTAGTTTCGCTTAAAATGCAAGTTTTGTGAAAATTTGGTATCTCTTTTGTGTAAATTTGGCATTTCTTGAAAACCAGTTTTTGAATCGTTCTGAAAATTTGGATATAAGTTTCATTTTTGATTCTCTACAACTTTTCCATTGACACCAAAATGGGTTTCTTTTGAAGAAAGTGCTCAAACTGTCACAGATGACAATAGCCCGCAGTTTTCAATTCATCAACCCAATAATTTTTCTGTAAAAATTTCAATTGCTGTTTTAAAGAAAATTGCTGAACAGATCGTTTTCAAATTTGAAAGACTTATATAATCAAATAAGCTCTATCTTTTTTACTTTGGCACTAAAATAGATTTGTTTTGAAGAAAGTGTCCAAATTGGAATAGTTTTGACTGATCGCCTCTGCGCAAAAACCATAAAACAGCTATTTCCAAGAGTTTCCCAAAAGCCAGAGAAACAATTAACCTTTTTAATAGTTGAAATAGAAATTTATGGCGGCATTATTTTTTAAATCGTTTTGATGTTGGAAAAAAAAATTGTAAAGACTAATGTACAAACCTAATAATATAACACAATTTTTATAGATGTGCTCCTTTCTCATACACGGGTTTACAAGGCAATCAGAACAACTTCGTGAGTGAACGAGCGTGCAGAACCGCTTGTCCAGGTAATAGAGATACTTTTAGGCTGAAAGCTTAAAATCGTTAAGGTTTTTTTAATACGGTATTTCATTTCTAGAATATCGAAGTTTCTGCCCACACGGTTTGCCACTCGTCGAACGAGGCGCCGTCTACAGTTGTGGGATCGATAAAGGATGTCCGGCTGGGTTCATTTGTCACATGAGCAGTGAGCACAATGTCTCGATTTGTTGTGAGGTTAGTTTACTGAAGCTAGCTACTGAAGCTAGCTACTGAAGCTAGCTACTGAAGCTAGCTACTGAAGCTAGCTACTGAAGCTAGCTACTGAAGCTAGCTACTGAAGCTAGCTACTGAAGCTAGCTACTGAAGCTAGCTACTGAAGCTAGCTACTGAAGCTAGCTACTGAAGCTAGCTACTGAAGCTAGCTACTGAAGCTAGCTAGAGTAAAACCCCGAATTTTCAGTTTAAAGCCTTAGTTCTAACCATTGTATCAGTTCTAACTATAGCAAATCAAGGATTTAACTTATCGTTAGTTAGCTTTAGGATTTTCAGCTTTAATAGACACTCAGTCTGAAGATTCTTGACTTATTTCAGTATAGAAAAGGTTATTCTGCAATAAGATACCAATGTTTTGACAGCTGATCCAATCAAAAGTCAGGCCTAAACTAGGCCAAAGTCCCCCCTAGTACTTATCCCCAAATTTTCAGGATCCAATGGACTTTTGTCTTACATCAAGAGATCCTGGTCCATGCAACGGAAAAGAGAAACGTTTTGGCTATCATCCTGAATCGGACACTTGCGTCGAATACGAGTACGGTGGCTGTTTGGGAACACTGAACAACTTCAAATCGCTTCAACGATGCACGGAGATTTGTTGTAAAGAATACAAAAGAAAGCACAGAGATCAATCCATTTACAAGTTTGCTTGAAGCTGAAATTTTGCTGTCATTTTCGAAAAAGTCTTTCACATTAATTGCCTTTATCTTTCAAAATAATCCATTTCTTAACATTGACCAAAAATCAAGGCCATTCGTTCGTCGGTAGATCTCGTTTTTATGACCATTTTCTTGTAAAATTGTGATGTTTTTTGTTCAATTCTCTTTCAATTCGTGTATTCAATGCGTGTTCGTGACATTGATATTTATTGACAATTGCATAAAGTATTCCACATACAGAAAAAGCTCAACAATGGGACAGAATCGGAATTGAATGAGAACCGAGGTTTATAGTAAAATAAATAGATTAGCTAAAAACTAGCGGAAAGATTAGGGTTTTTTTTGAAAGCTAGCACGTTTTAAAAAGTCATTATCGAGAGAAAAACTATACGTTACATGCTATTTAGCTATTTTCATACATTTCAAACATTACGTACTACATACTACATACTACAGTCATGGACAAAAGTCTTTATCCCTACCGAAGTCAGCTTTTAAAACGCGAAATTTTTCAACTTTTTAACAAGCTTTAAAAATTGTTTTTTTAAGTATTTTGTAGCATATTTACTCTAGTTTTCATATCCCATAACCAAAATAAATAACAATTTATTTCAAGCAACAAACAACGACATTAACAAAAAAAAAAACCTCAAAACAGGTCGACAAAAGTCTTTACCCCTAAAAAAGTGCGAAATAAACGAGGATTTTAATATTTGATAGGGCCTCCTTTTGATGAAATTACTGTTTGAATCTTTCTCGGCATCTAGTCGACCAAATCGTGTAGAATTTGAGGACCGATCTTTGTCCAGATGTGTTGAACAAAGTACCATGGCTCAATCTTGGTATTGAAGCGTTTTCCCTTCAATTTTGACTTTAAAAACACCCACAAATGTTCGATAACGTTCAAATCCGGGCTATAGGAAGAAGCAGACACAAGCTGGACTCCATTCGATCGTAATCATCCGGGCAGACGAGCTCTACCACCGTTGGCAAGGCGAACCACGCGTCCCACTAGCAGTTGCGACTCGTGGCATGGAGCGTACATTACGCGTACATACATTACGTACTACATACTACAGTCATGGACAAAAGTCTTTACCCCTACCGAAATCTGCTTTTAAAACGCGAAATTTTTCTACTTTTTAACAAGCTTTAAAAATTGTTTTTAAAGTATTTTGTAGCATTTTTAGTCTAGTTTTCGTATCCCATAACCAAAATAAATAACAATTTATTTCAAGCAACAAACAACGACGTTAACAAAAAAAACCCTCCTTACAAAAAAAACTTTTTAGCTTTTTATTTTATTGCTGTCGTTTTATCATTTTTCACATAACAATGTTTTATTTTTAATTTTAGTAATGCTTGGTCATTTTTTTCTTTCTTGCAAAGTTTTTTCACCGTCTCGGGGCTGCATTTGAATAAGCTCGCAACATCCTTAACTTTATCGCCTCTTTTCCTTGCTTTCAAAATCTTTTCTTTGTCGGGAGTGGTCAGATAGGTCCCAAGCATTACTAAAATTAAAAATAAAACATTGTTATGTGAAAAATGATAAAACGACAGCAATAAAATAAAAAGGTAAAAAGTTTTTTTTGTAAAGAGGGTTTTTTTTTTGTTAACGTCGTTGTTTGTTGCTTGAAATAAATTGTTATTTATTTTGGTTATGGGGTATGAAAACTAGACTAAAAATGCTACAAAATACTTAAAAAACAATTTTTAAAGCTTGTTAAAAAGTTGAAAAATTTCGCGTTTTAAAAGCTGATTTCGGTAGGGATAAAGACTTTTGTCCATGATTGTATTTAAAAGCTATACAAACTCTAAATTTAGCGTTTTGCTATTTCCTTGTCAATTCTTCTCTTTTCTCCCCATTCCATTGTTGATTTTCCCATAAAACATCGGTATTAGAGACCATAAAAGTCGTCTTTTCCTTTGCCAAGCGATAACTGACCTTGGCCCGAATTTTTCTTGTTTTCCTTGCGGTCAATTGAAACCGTTTGAAATCTGAGCTAGTAACAGCAAACTAGCATTTGCAACTAGCAATCTTTCGCACTGGAACTAGCAAACTAGCAATCTTTCGTCAAATCTTTTCACGAGTCACAAATTCTCCCTAAAAAGCCCATAGCTAGAGATTGAGTTGAAAAAGGCAACGCCAAAGTGCCAAAAAGGAAAACTCTGCGTCTCAAAAGAGCCTTCTTCCAACTTTTTTCAACACTCTTCCAGCAAGATGACTAAGATATTTTCTTTCTTTTAAAATAAACCGAACCTAAATGCTCTGTGCCCTGATTCTACAGTAATATTGAAACTCTGAAGTAAACGATGACAATCTTTTCAAAACACCCAATTTGTCGAAAAGACAAAAAGTCCTAACGCAAATCCAAAGTTATCAATTTGGCATAATCCGGCTTGTCAGAACCAAGTTTGTCAGAAGTTTTAATTCAAATTCTTGATTTTGTATAGAGTTAAAACGGTTCTAAAGTCTTTCAAATTGCAAAGACTCAATTGTTGCTGAAAGTTTGAAAAGCAAAAGTCCTAAAAAGCAATTTCAAGGTTTTAAAAAGCGCTTCTTTGCTTTCAAAAAGTTCCAAAAAGCGCTTCTTTGCTTTCAAAAAGTTCCAAAAAACTTTTCTCCCCAACTTTTCTGCTTTTTCTTTGTTCTTTCAAAGTTTTAACAAGTTATCTACTAGAAAAATCTACTAGGAAATTGAATTTTTAGTTTAAAATCAATTCAAATCTTTCCAGAAGACTGTTGTTGACAGAATCAATTGTTGTTTGTCAAATTGTTCATAAAACAAAGATTCGATTCTGTTTGTGTTGATTCAAGTAACCTTACGATTAAATAACTCAGAATCAGTAGAATTGAAAACCCAATTGCTTTGCTGTTGAAAGTTTGCTTTGAAAATAAAAAGTGCCTAGCTTTTCCCTCAACTCTTTTCCTTCACATTCTTCCACTAAGATGACCAAGGGCTGTCTTTTCCCTTCTTTTCTTTTCCCCATTCCCTTTCCCCTTTCAACCGCATCGCTTTCATTCTTGCGTCGCGTTTTTATCCATTTATTCCTTTCCCCTCTTTTTTTTCCAATCTTTCCGTCAACTCTGCTTACTCCTTTTCCGCACTGACCGGCTTTCCCACTGTGTGCTTTCAAAAAATTGAAACCAAACCTTTCAAATATCTTAGTCTTTGCTAAATCTGCTGTTTTTTTCGTAAAAAGAAAGTATTGAATTACTCAAAAATCCATAAAAATGTGTTAAATTGCTCCGGAAAAGATTTGCAAGTCAAAAAATAGTTCAAATTCAAGTGGAAAGCTTTAGAAATTAATCAAATTTTGTAGATTTACCAAAATTTTAACGGGATCTCAAAGTTCTTCATCATTTTTAATTAGATTTAAAAAAAAACTTGGTCAATGACAGATCTTTTACCACATTATCTTTATTATCATTAATTGCAAGCTGGGTAATTTAAATTTTTGTGTTTTGTGGATCTTTTTGTTACACTTTATAAAGTATAGATTATTATCCCTTTATCTCACCGCCGAATAATTGGATTTTGATGAGGAGCGCGTGATTGTTGCGCAACCACCAGATCGCCGCTCTTTTGCTCTTCTGTTTTCTATTTCTATTTCTATTTCTATTTCTATTTTTATTTCGATTCTCTGTATAATTCAACTATTTAGGCTAATGACTACAAGAAGTTTTTGCTGATTTCAAAAAATGGAAAACGGAGTTCTGCCCGAGCTCATCGGCGTCAACGAGTACAACGCGGCTGAGGTGGGGCAAAGATTTTGGCTAACTTTCCTTTAAAATTTGATAATACGTAGTTAGGTTACTAAGTTAGGTTACTTTTTAACTCTTTATTTAACACCGACATCTTTTTCATTCACTTAAACGGTCACATTTTTCAAACTTTTAGTTTTCCTATCACTTATCACACTAAAAAGTTATTACTTTTTTTACCCATGATTAGCCGAATGTATTTCTTGGTAGCATATGCCCCAACCACAAGACCTTTGTGCCCTAATTTCTACGCAGATGACACAGAGCTCAATACTGCCTTTCTTCGGGCCATCTGGTTGCACCTTGTGCTTGACTATTGCTTTACTGACCCTGTTAATCTCGTTATGCGAAGACAGAATTGTAGAGAAAACAAATTTTTGGGTGCTCGGTAGGGATTGTAGAGCTTTGAGACTTTTAGATTTGGGATTTAGGCTAGCTAATTTTTCAGTGAAGCATCAGAATCGTGAGTCTCACTTCCCACAACGTGTTAGTTTGATATTAGATCGTTTATCTTTTTCTCTTCACCCAAATCTTCTTCCAAGACTCATCTCAGTCGATTGACACATCGCGTGTCTTTTCTTTTCCTTTCTTTCGCCCCTTTCACCCCATTGGCACTTTTCCCCTTTTGCCATATCAAAGACAAAAGAAAGAGTGGATGAATCGAACAAACCAACAAGGCTTTCCACTCCATATTCGGCTTTTCCCTCCTTTGACTTTCATTCGTGGCTGCATTCGTGATGAGGAACACTTGGGACATTTTGAGGAGAACAAAAGACTAAAAGGGATAAAGACTTTCTCACTTTAGCCTTCAAAAGAAAGATACTATCTAAAAATATGGATCGGATTTCGGGAGAGAAAAGGAAAAAAGAAAAGAGAGGATTTGTGGGTACAGGGCTTAGAAAAACATTAAACTGGGAAAAAACAAGACAAAAGTCGATCAGGATTGTCTGATTTGTTGAGAATTGCACAATTTTGACGATTTCAATAAATCACCATTCTTTAGAGTAAGAAAGCCAGTGAAGATTTGATAGAATTTGATGAGTTAGTGAATCAAATTCAAGGATCTGTTTCTGAATTGAATTAAAATCCTTACATTACTAGTTTTCTTTTGCTAATACGAAACTTTTAGGGAAAATTCGCGGCCTCGGTGCGATGGTTGATCACGAGAGTCTACGAGAATGATATCCCCGACAAGCTCAAATCGGCTGTTGTTCGGGATGATCAGGTGAGATTTTTAAAGCTTATCAAATCAGCAGAAAGCTTTGCTAGGTGGTACATCATATAGGTGCAGATAAAAAGCTTTGTAGGTAGGCAAAATTAAACTTTAGAGAGCAAATTTTTATTTTAAAATCTTTATTTGACATCAATGAACAGCAAATTAACAATCAAATTCAAAGCTATCACTATTTTTAGCCGAGCATGTTGTCAAGCGTTTAGGAAAAGCGTCCATGGTGGCGACCAAGTAAAGAAATGAATGGCAAAAAATTGGAAATGGGAATTGAACCCTCGACCTTCCGCTTACCAGATAGATCCTCTACCACTGAGCTATTAGCACCTTCTTTGCCCAAGAAGAAATAGGATAGACAAGAAAGAAAGAGAGAAATAAGCATCATCGAGTTCATTTCAGGCTTTCAGAAGACTTTTCTTCAAAATTTAACATTTTTATATGGTTTTGAGCGAGCTTTTGCCTCAAGGATGACAGAATAATCCATCGGATTGAGATCTGGCGAGCTGGGATTCAGAAAAAGAGATGAAATCAGGAAAATTCATTTGCAAAAATCTTCGACTTTCTGGGCTTTGTGAGCCGGAGCCCTGTCTTGTTGAAATGTTTAAATTCGGTTTTTGAAATGCTTTTGAGCTTAGTGGAAAATCTCAGCTTTGAGGAGATCGAGATCGTTAATAATAATAGATAAAAAGCCATTGCACCTATGATTACGCACATAAGCTAATACCTAGTCATTTTTCTTTTTTAGGGCCACCTCCACATCGACACCGCCGTTCTCACCGCGCTCACCAACGGATCTTTGTACAGCCAGGCGGCCGTGAAAATCTTCAAGGATCACAGTCTTGTGACGGTGAATAAATCGTAAAAATCAAAAATTAGCTAATGTTTCTGTTAAAAAAGGTTTAATATTATACGAGTTTAAATGAAAAATTTTATTTTAAGTGAGAGCACAAGCTAACTTCTGATTCTTCTGATCAAATTAGTTTTCTAGAAAATCTTTGAACTAGAATTGATATAAATATTAACAAGAGGTGAATTTTGCTATATTCCTGAACTTGGCAAAACTTCAAAGTCTATCTCATTTTATTTTTCGCTCGAAGAGAGTTCCCCCAAGCGGTTTATAAGAGATTAGTCACAGATTGTGGGAAATCGTTTGAGAGACGAAATTGAGCAAAAATATTATACGGGACTAGTAAAATAAGATAAGAAAAATTTAAAATAGATGAATTTTAGCAATCACATGCCGGTGTGCTTCGAGCATTGCAACAGAACGAGGTGGAAGCGCTGGAGAGACTACAGGACGGTCAGATTCGACCGGTCACCGAGCAACGATTGTTCTCAGCGAATCCGTTTCATGAGGTGTGTAAATAAGCTCAACAAAAATCTTGTACTTTGGCAATTTTCTGGGTTAGCCTGACTTGTTTTGTTCAAAAAAATCGTTTTCAGACGGCTCACGTGGCGATGATGGACGCGCTAATGAATCAACACACGAAAAGCGTTGTGACAATCGATCGAGCCGTGACTGCAGTCAGGTAAAGATCTAGAATAACAAAAAAAAACATTAATTTAAAACTTTTTATGAAAGTTATATATTAATAATTTGGAGTTTCAGTGAATATACCTCCGTTGACGAGCGAGAGCAACCGATGGATGCGGTGGATTCCCTTCTTTTTTGGATCAACAAGATTTGCCTGCTAGTGAGGGATGATGTTGAGAGAACGGGAACGAGATTGAGAAGTTGGTTTTGAGAAATAAAAATTTCATAATCATGTAACTCTCTTGGAGATAAGATCTATTAGGCTATCCAGAAAGTCATTTCGTTCCTTTTTGTACTTTCGTTTAAAGCCAACAAATGCACCAATTGATCTACCGTTTGTTTCATTAGAAAGGTCAATTATTTTTCTTGCAAAATAACATTGAAATGAGTTTAAAATGCCTTATGACTGGATTTTTTTGGGAGCCTGAAGTCGGGTAGTCAAAAAGGGCGACAACTCGATGATGCGGTTTAGAGACTTTAGCTAACAGTAGCTAACAATTGTAATACTTGTAACAATTGTAAGAAAACCCATCTTCGTGTCAAGAGATAAAAAATAGAGCATAAAAAGTTAGATAGATAGCCAAATTTTCAGAGAAATTGATCCAGCCAATTTCGTCGTAGAGGTTTTTATAGATTTTTACGAAAAACACGTTCTCATTCTCGAATTTTGCTTGAAAGTGAACCGAAATTGACTTAAAAAGATGGAAAATTGAACAATAAACACTTTTTATTTAGAGAAAATCGTAGATTACTTGATGAATTTGTTATTTTTCAACGAAAGTATGAAAAGGAATGAAAAGACTCTGGACAACCTAATAATCTAGGGTGTTTCAAATCATCCGGTGTTCCAAATCATTCCAAACCAGGCAAGGCTACAATGCTAGGCCAAGAGTTAGGCCTTGGTTTGACTTTTGGTTATCTGGGACTGCCTGATGTTAGAGTACTAAACTTGACTCTTTGCCTGGCCTAACTTGCAAGTTCTAGGACTTTCCTGGCTTACAGGCTCTAATTAGTGACTAACTGTAAGGAAAGTAGATAGTAGAAAAGTTCGATCGCGGGGACCGAACCAGAGATGCCTCTGGCTGAATGACTTACCTCTAGATCACAGCTGATATCACCTAGTGTGGGGAATTGAGCTGAAATACTCTCGGATTTCGGGTCTTAAACTTTGATGCCAGATACCTTGCGATACAGATCTCCATTGAAAAAAACTAAAAGCGGATTCGGAATCCTCATTCAAAACTCTATCAAATACACTGGGTACGCACCAAAAAGGTCACCTTGACCTGGTGCCTTTCTCTAGTAATACCTAGTTGGTCTTGTCTAATCTAGTGTTTCAAAACACTCGAATTTTTAAGGGCAAGTTCTCAAAGTTTTTGCGGTTTAACAAAAGAAAAGCGTTAGGTTTTGAAAAATTATGTCACGATTTAATTCTTGACTATTTGAAATGCATTTTAAAATATGAAATCACTTTCATTGGTGTAACTGTTTTAGCATCCGATGAGGGTGAAGAGGGATTAATTCCCGAGATGGAGGACCTCTACGAAGATCTCTGTGATGGTTGTTGTTTGTGTGCTTTGGCTCATTTCTACAGACCTGAGCAAATGGATTTACAAAGTGAGCCAGAAAATTTTGATTTATTAGACGTCAACTCCAGTAACCCAAAGTTTCAGACGTTTGCTTCAACGATCCGAACTCGATCGCCGACTGTCAGTACAATTGGTTGAAGATGAAGTGAGAATAAATTCTTTTCACCTAAATTAACAATTTTCTAGGGAATTCTGTTCTTCATTGGCTCTTCCCTACAATCCTTTCCATTTCGAGATCGAAGACGTTTTGTACTTGCACGAAACATTGCAAACGAATGTCAACGCTTTTCTTGCCGATCTCTTCGAGTTCTTTGAGCCAATGAGAATTTGTAAGTTCACTTAACTAAAATATCTTTTTCAAAAATCTCTAAAATTTTAAGAGAAAGCTGTGCTCATTTTTTACGAGTAATTTCTTGGAGTCGACTTGTAAATAATAAAACAAAGTTCCCTTGAATTGGTGGATTCGTTCTAATTCAAATCTAGTTCGAGTTCCAGTTCAAATCTGTGCAAAAACTTTCTTGTCAACCTAATAATTTCAGCCACTCCTCAAGCAATTCTCGAGGTCACTTCCCCCCGCCGTTTCGTGCCGATTCAAGGGATTCCTGACCTGCGAGCAGCCAATTCAGCCGCTCGTCCCTCACATCCACCTCGAGTACAATATCTTCCCGTTGGAGGACAGGTTAGTTTTTTTTATCAGCATCGTTGGCCGTTAATATTGACATTAGACATTAAACTTTTAATTTGCTATCCAGGGACCAAGTCGATCGATGTCGATGATGAGCGCCGATTCGCTGATGACAAATCAGGGTTTCGTCTCACCGACAAAAGCACCCGCAAACAATTGGGGCCAAAATGTGACGAATTTCTCCCGAATACAACAGGTTGGGCTTTCAAAGTTGTGAAAATTTTCGTTCTTCATGAGATTTCTTAACAGATTTAGGTTTTTTGATTTTTGTGTGGGTTATTTCCCTTCTAGCTCGTCTAAAAACGTTCACAAGCAACCGATCTACTGAAGTTAGGTGTCAAAATGAAGAGAAATGTTTGAGGATCATTTATCTGGAAACTATTTGAAAAAATATTGACTTTAAAGTGAGTTATGAAGCTTTGAATGCAAACTAGTTCTCGGATCACTGGTGACCTGGGGAATTTCTCATGCTAAAACATTCTGAACTTTCTTCAAGCTCAATATTTCTTTAATTTGATTTCAGATAAATGATCCTCAAACATTTCTCTTTATTTTGACCCCTAACTTAAGTAAATCGGTTGCCTGTGAACGTTTTTTTGACAAGCTGAAAGGAAAATAACTTACGCAAAAATCAAAAAACCTATGTTAAATGTGTTAAAGTTTCATTAATTCAAAATTTATACTAAAACCACTCATTTCCCTTATTTAAAATCACTTTCCCACAAAATACACCCAAACATTTCTAGCCAATAGGTTGGATTTGAAAAAATTGTGACATTTAAGAAAAATTTTGTTTTAAAGCTTTTTCTTATTTCTCCAAGATTTCTCCAAATTAAATCAAGCTACCGTATTTCTTCGAATAGAAGACCGGGTAACGAGTATGATCGCGTACTCCTGTGTAGCAGCCCTTTTTAAAATTTCTTTTCTGCATAAAAGCTTTCAATGAAGTGCTATAGAGCTGGAAAATGACTCAAAAATACTACATGAGCTAACAGATTTTTGAGCCATTTTCCAGCCCTATAGCACTTCATTGAAAGCTTTTATGCAGAAATGAAATTTTAAAAAGGGCTGCTACGCAGGAGTACGCGATCATACTCGTTACCCGGTCTTCTATTCGAAGAAATACGGTATTAGAATTCTTAAAAATCTTTAGCAATGTTGAATCAAATCGCTTACTCATTTTTTCTAATTTTAATTCCCTTTCCAAAAACCTTAAATTCAAATATTTGTTTAGCCAGAATCCGGTTCGAATGGAAATCTTTCGTATGCCCGAAGCGATTCTCTACCGGTTGCATCGATTCGAATGGCTTTAGAGGAAAAGAGAAGAGAGCACGAGAAAAAGAAACAGAAACATTTGTGAGTTCTTTCTTTTACTTTCTTTTTTTCATCCCATTTCTTATGAATGAACAAATGATTAGACATTTACCCGGCAAGAGAACAAAAACGTTTTCTTTTTACGAATTTTCTTTCTTTTTAAAGATTCTATATAACGTAATTTGGCTAGGGTATCAGTTTTTAGAAGATTTACAGTAATTTAATCAATTTTAAGGGCTCAATCGGAGGCGGATCGAACAGAGAAAGGGAAACAGGCGTTTTTTGCATTGATGCAAAGGCATGAGGTAAACGATTGATGATACTTTAAACTTTTATAGACTAAAGAGTAAAGAAATATCAAGTCTATTGTGCAATCTTATCGTATTTTTCTAGAATGAAGTCCAAGATGAGAACAATCGCGAGAAAGTGCTCGAGCAGCAAGTGCTGGAGCTGCAGAAACAAGTGCTTGAGATGCAGGTATTTTCAAATTTTCGTGTAGAACTCGGTGTTTTTGTTTTTATGTCCAAATCTAAAAAAAAACCGATTAACTATATTTTTTGAAAAGTTGCTAACAAGCAACAACAGTTACAAGCCTAAATTTCAAATTCAGATGAACAACGAGATGGAGAGAATGTCCCGCGCTCTATCACAGCCTTCGATCTACAATGGTTTGTTGTTCTTTAGACAAATTAAAGACTAAACTTGATAAGTATTAGGAATTATAAACCATCTTGTTTATATTTTGTTCAAATAACAATTTCTTTTCAGACCTAACCAATCAGACAACTCCTCGACCGTTTGGCACTCTTCCACATGGTGCTCATGCTCAACACACGCCTCAAGCGGCCTTCTCGCAATCTTTTAATCAACAATCACCCTATTTGATGAATCAACAACAATTTCAATCACCAAATCCGGTAAGTTGATGTTGAATAGAAAAAACTAGTTAAATCTAGATGTGGGCACTACAAACTACAAGGTCAGACTACAAACGCTTGTAGAAACGTGTAGAATGGCTATTTTTAAAAACTGCTTTTACCAAAAATTTGAGCCAGCTTTGGGCTTTTGAATGACACCAAGATCAGACCAATTCACTATCACTGCTCCGATAACGTGCTATGTATAGCGGCTTGTAGTCTCGTCCTATGGGATAGGACTACAAACCTGGATAAAACGTTATATTTCAGTGCAGAAATGGTGAATTGGTCTGATCTTGGTGTCATTCAAAAGCCCAAAGCTGGCTCGATTTTTTGGTAAAAACAGTTTTTAAAAATAGCCATTCTACACGTTTCTACAAGCGTTTGTAGTCTGACCTTGTAGTTTGTAGCGCCTATGTCTAGTTAGTTCTCCCTTTGCCTTTTTGACAGCTTTCATTCATTCATTTGTTCAGATGATGCGAGCATCGATCAGCAACGGAATGCTCAACTATTTACCCGGCCAGGTTCAGCCACAATTTGATCAATACGGGATGCAACAACCACAACAGCAATATGATATGTACGGACAACCGCAGCCAACCTATGCTCAACCACAAATACAGCCACAGATGCAGAATTTGGTTAGTGGAAAGAGTTCTTTATAACTACTGAAGACTCTGAAATTTCATTCTTAGATGCACCAATCTGCACACGCTTCTGTTGGATCACCGTTCAATCTCCATGCCAAACAACAGCAAATGAACCAAATGGGTCCATTGAGTGCTCCGCCATATCAAATCAATCATCAACAGCAACAAATTGATCAATTTGCTCAAGGACTTCAACAATATGCGGATCAAATGCCCGACGATGGAGGAGCCACGTTTCGGTTGCATGCACAGAATGTGAGTGTTACGAAAATTTCACTTACTAAGCTTAGCATCTAGCTAGTTAAATGAGAAATTAGATTTAGAAATTAGACTTTTTACCCTACCATCCTTAGCGATGTCAAAGAATCCTAGAAAAAAAGTCCAACACTAAAGTCTAGCTAAATAGTATGGTATGTTTCCATTTCTGAGCATAAAGTACACTTGGGCAACTTTGAGCACTCTCGTTTAGACCCCTCAATCTCGAGTCGATCCTCAGCTGGAGCTAAACCGAAATTTGACCAATTGGGGAATGACCTACAAGTCAACCGCTCGTCCACCACGCAAGACCTGGGAAAATCAAACGTTCATCAAAAGAGAACAGGATCTTGTCAATGACCCAGATTTGGTGCCTTATGTTCAAGATGATGGACCATCGACGACAATCACCGATGTTGGGCATTCATTGGGGAACAGGAGAATGTGAGCTCATTGCAATATTATTGATACGATTTTAACTTCTTAAAATCTTAAAGAATCTAGACCTTCGCTCGAGATTTCTAATCTTTCAGCAAGCTGTGTGTTAAAAATTTTTTGGTTTTCGACCAGACTTTTAAAGGGTTATCTTTTCAGCAAACATTTAAATAAAGTTATTGGTAAAAACCAAAGTGCAACTGGGGACATAGTTTTTGAAAAATGAACTTGAGAACCTGAAAAAGTCATACCCGGCAACCTAATAATTTTCCAATATTTCAGATCTTCCGACAGTATGCAACAGAAGCAAATGCACCAGCATCAAATGAGTGCCCCACCGCCGCATCTTGAGCCATCTTCATCAAGTGTGTTACTATTTTGAATCAAATCAATAATATATCAGTGAATTTCTTATCCAAACCTTTTCAGTCGACTCATCAAGAGCTCACTCTCAACCCCAACCCTCTCCACCCCGAGATCCGTCTGGTTTAACACAGCCGGGCAATGCTTTTGTTGTCAGTGATGAGCAAGCCGCTGCTGACTTTGACAAAATTGTAAGTAATTTGAGTCCGAGGTAATGTTGATGTGCTTATTTTGTAAATTCAAAAAATAAAATAACCCTTTAATATCCCTTTCAGGCTGAACAACGTCGACAGGCTCGCAAGGAGGCTCTCCTGGCGAAAACGATGCAACGACGCGAACAGATCCCGCAAAAGGTCGAGAGCATGGAGATGAAAATGGCTGAGGTGCGCATGAAGCATTGGACAATGTTTTATTTGATTTGTTCAATAGTTTTTTTGATTTAAGAAGTTGCTTTAGAAACGAGCACAAGAGGACGCGAAAAAGGAGATGGTTGAACAGAGGAAATTGGAGAAAGAGTTGCATCGACAAAGGCTTTTGGAGGATTACAAGAGAAGAAAGATGGAGAAAGAGTTGGGCATTGGACCATCGGATGGATCACAATCGGCAAGACCAGCCTCGGCAAGGGGACACTCACAACCGCCTTTTATTCGCACGAAGAGTCAGGTGAGTGTTTGAAAAGTTACGACAAGAGAAATCGCTTCTTCTCAGAAAACTGGGTCTTTTCTTGGGACAAAGGGTTAAAAAACTGACTTGAAAAGTTGATTTCATCTTTTAATACCTTGTAAAATCACATAGCTGTTGGTGAACGAACGAAGTGAAGTGAATATCTCTTGTCAAAAACTTCGGAGTCACGATTTTTCAAAATTCAAAACAAAATCGAAGCCGTTTTTGTTTAAGTTTAAGCAATAGTTTACTAGTTTTTTTATCTTTTCAGGAAATCACGAAATACCTCTCGCCAAGAGGGAAAATACAGGTATTCTCGAGTGATTAGAGCACTGATTTGAGTAAAACACATAGCAATCCCATAGATTGAAAAGAGTTTTGATCTTTGTAAAAGCAAAAATTTCAGATGTCCGAATCGGTGGATCAAAGTCAACAAGTTCAAAGGATGGTTCGTGGAAAGAGCAATGTCGATGGAGAGAATCGAATCTTCGTTGCCTCCACCGCAGAACCGAGTAAGATCTGAAATGTTACAGAAGAGTATAAGCTTTCTGTTTAGTTGCGCTCTAGCTAACAGTATTGCGTTAGTTGAAAGACTGAATATAGTTGAACACGCCGGTCCTTTTATGGGTTGGGGCTGGGAATACAAAACATGGTCAGCGCCAGGATTCGAACCCACGGCCTCTCGCTTACCGGGCGAACGCTCTACCAACGAGCTATCCAAATGCCGCCAGAATAGGGCCTTATAAGGCCCTATTCTGGCCTTATGCCTTGCTATATCTTATTCAAATGATGCAACAATCCCAGTCTTTGTGCTTGGATACTATTATTCCCGGTTACTGTAGACTTATCATAGTAATCTAGCGACAGTAAATTAACGAGATTAAAAATACTGTGAATTCACATTCAAGTAAGAATTTGTCTAACTGCTGTATACCTGATTTAAACCTGAATCAGTGAAAAGACTTACCTATCTTTGCGTTATTCAAATGCCATTCAGTTTTGGCACTTGAATAATATTGATCTAACTTACTGTAGTAAAGAAAAATGTGTTTTTTTCGTAAATTTCTAAAACTTGAGAGTCTTAAACCTTAAAAACTAATTAATTTTAGCCTTAAAACTCTTCGCGAAAGCGGCTCCGAAGTCGAATCGCTCATTGATAACGAACGCTCTACAATACAGTGTTTTCCCCGGAGCCGTTTGCGACAATGAAAGAAATAAGGTGATTTTAAAAACACAGCTAACTTTATATCGAGAAACTTTTTCCACACAATCAAATTCAGGTGCTCGGTGAGATGGGGAAAACTGATTCGAAGCATTTCCTCTTTCTCTTTCGAGATCAAAAGTGCCAATATCGAGGGTTGTACTCGTGGGATCAGGTGAGATTTTTGAGAGCAATTCATTTAATCAAGTCATAATCATAATCTAAAGAATTTTAAGTAACTTTGAAGCTTGATTTTATCGATTCTTTTAGGCATCGAACACCGTTCATAAGATCACCGGAACCGGCCCGAAAGTGTGCAACACGAGCATGATGAAGTTGATGTTCAAGTGAGTCTTAAATGAGCTCAACCTTGTGAAGTGATCAAGAATATAAAAAGTTGAAGAAGAGTTTTAAAAACGCTAACGTTTCAGGCTTTCTAAAGTCCGTTCTCGAACTAGAGCTGACCCAAACTCTAGTGCTCCCATTCAAAAACAAAAACTTTTACTTTTAACACAATAAACAGAAAATAAGGCCTCTTTAGATTGTTATAGCCGTTTTATCATCAAAAATGTAGATTCTACAAAAATCTGTGTTTTTTTTTCTTTTGTAAAGCATATGACAAGGTAAATTTTGGTCTTGAATGTAGGTTTTCTGATGATTTTCAATACGGTACAGTTTTGATACTATTAAAAAAGTGAAGGAATTGGCCAGAAAAGGTTTCCGGAGAGGGAATTGAACCCTAGACCTTTTGCTTTCCAGGCAATTCTAACCACTGAGCTAGCCGGTATCTTAACTTACTTAGAGAAAGAGAGAAAGACAAGGGGAAGAAGAAAGAAAGGAAAAAAAAAAAGTAACGCTTTTCAGATATGATTCCGGTGCAAAGGGTTTCTCTCAGGTGCCTACGAGAACGTTGGGCACAACGATTGACGGTTTCTCTCTGCAAGATCAATTCTGGACAAAGCCGAAAATCCCGCATTCAGGGAACGCTTCTCATCGAGATAATTGAGGTGTTTCATTTCAAAAAATGAAATCTATTCTTAAATCTAAACCAAATTTGATCACTCTAATTCGATCTTTTCAAAAATGCCCAAAAAACGAACCTGGTGATACATTTTTAGCCTTTAAAATTACCCAAAAATTCGCCAATTTGTAAATGACGTTTTCTGTGATGTAAATGAATTGTTTAGAAACATTTGGCATTAAAAATAATTCTGAAAAGGGATAATTTTTGAAGATTACTTTCTTTCCTTCGAATTTGTCTTTAGATTTTGATTCTTCATCGAATTCGATCAAAATCGGGGTAGGCTAGTTTCCGCAGCTTTTTTTTGCGCAACTCGCCATAACTTTGTTCTAAGTGGGCCAATCTTTATGATGTTGGTGGCATTTCGTTGCCCTTATTGAGATCTACAAAATGAAACCAAAATCATAAAGATTGGCGGGCTTAGAAAAAAGGTATGTGGTCCTTTGCTGGGTCATTTGCGCAACTAGGTAGCTACTTTGCGCGGCTAGCCATAACATTCTTCCAAGTGAGCTAATCTTTATGATTTTGCTGTCATTCTGTTGCGCTTATTGAGATCTACAAAATTACACCAAAATCATAAAGATTGGTCCACTTAGAAGAAAGTTATGGCAAGTTGCGCAAATGACCCTGTTGCCAAATAACCCTGTTGCGCAAAAAAAAGCTGCGGAAACTAGCCTATCCCTCAAAAGCAGACAAAATAAAGATTACGATAGTTTTTCAAATTATCCACCTTTTAGAAAACTCATATTTGAGATTTTTAAAAACTTTCTTTTGCTTTCATTGCTACCAATTTGTGCATTACATATAAAAATGAGAAAAAAAAATGCTAAGAAAACTTTGGGTTCACAAGCAGGTGCCGCTTTTTTGTTGTGTTGTTATGTTTTTACAATACTATCTTTACTTTCTTTCTTTTTTTTTAATTTTAAATAGAAATTTTTGGTTTTAATAGATTTTGAATAATGAATTTTCAATAGAATCAAAAATTTCCCAAAAATTGCTTAGCTTTTTTTCTTGAAATTTATCCCAATCATTTTCTTTTTTTGTTCTCTCTATCCAAATTGCCTTGTGCATAATTTTCATTGTTTTAAATTAATAAATAAATAAATAGTTTATTCAAAAGAGCAAAAAAAAGCAAGAAAAAATGGCTATATACAACTAGAAAAAGAAATGTAAATGTAGAAAGTTTAAAGAAGTAGATATTAGGTGTGTGAAAAAGCAATTCACGTTTTTTATTTTTATCTGATGACCAAATAAGACGCTGTCTTCTCGAAAATCCTCGTTTAACCTCTTCAGAAATAGGCCTTACATTAAATTGTGATGGGTGAACCGTAAGGAAACGCTTGAATGCCATGAATTTTATCAAAAAGTTGGACAAATGGATACCGCATAAATTGAGCGACGAAAACAAAACAATGCGCCTTACAATCGCCAATTCTTTGATTAGTAAACATCAACTTGAGCCATTTATTGATCGAATTGTTACGTGTGATGAAGAATGGGTTGATTACGATAATTCTAGAAGGTCTGGACAGTGGGTGGAACGTGGTAAACCTGCTGGGACAATGCCCCAAAAAAAGCCTCCATCCTAAAAACATTTTAATGACAGTTTGGTGGACTGCACGTGGTATTATGCACATAGACTATTTACCACGAGGCCAAACGATTAAAGGAGCTTTAAAGGACCTAAATAGGAACTATAAAGGAGCTTTAAAGGAGCTTTAAAGGACCTAAATAGGGACTATAGAGGAGCTTTAAAGGAGCTTTAAAGAAGCTATTGTGCGAATGTCTATTGTGCCGAGATTGATGCAGTCCAACAAAAACTCACTGAGAGACGCGCATCATTGGTAAATAGGAAAGGTGTCCTGTTGCTCCAACGCGCGACCACATGTCTCTTTATAGACTCGACAAAAAATCCAGAGTGTTGGATGGGAGGTTTTACCACATCCACCTTATAGTCCAGACCTTTCTCCATCTGATTATTATTTATTTTTGTCTCTGTCTAACTTTTTGTCTAACTAATAAACGCTTCAATTCCGAAGAAGATGTCAAAGCCGAGGTTGATCTTTTCTTCGCCTCTAAGGACCAAGATTTTTTATTATCGTGGAATGTCTTTACTTATGGAACGTTTGGCAAAAGGTTGTTCTTTCGAATGGTGATTACTTTGTTGAATAAAAATTATTTTAGCGAAACTTATGGTCTTTTATATTTAAAAACGTGGATTACTTTTTCACACACCTAATAAAATCAAAATTTTTGAAATCCCTTTCAATGATCTTTCTCTTTTTGTTTAAAACTCATTGCTTTAAATGCTTTTTTTTTCCTTTCAAGTTCTTTAAACTCTCTCGATCACTAAAAAAAAACCCTAGATTTGGTCAATATAAATCAGAAATTTAAGCGTTTTTATCTTTTCCCTCATCAGGCGGCTCTCTTGTTGTTGGTGAAGTCGAGAGAATCGAATACTCTTCACAATAACGTAGAATTTTTCGGAAAATACCGCCTGAAATAAAGTTGTTTTGTAAGTGTTAGGAAAAATAAACCAACTTTTGAATAAGTTTTATGATTTTGATGAATTTTTGACTTCTAGATGCCAAAAGCTTTTTGAGTTTTGAGCTTTGAGCTTTTTCAGCTAAAAGCCAAGCTTTTCTAGAGCTTTTTAAAACATTCTGGCATCAGTGCATGGTCAAAAAAGCTATTATCTTACAATTCTAAATCGTATTTTCTTTTTTTCATATAATGCAAAAGATTTTATAAGCTAATCAATCATTTGTGTCATTTGTGCTGTCTTTTTTTCCGACATTTGTACTCCCCTTTTTCCTTTGAGCATTCTTTTTGCATACTCTACAGAAATAGCAACATTTAACATCTATAAAAAAGAAAAAAAACGATCCTGGAGATTTTAGACTAAAAACTCGGGTATTTGGGAAAGGTCCCGGGTATTTGGGCTGAGTCTTGGCCTAGTCACGGTCTAGATCTCCTATCCGGTAGCTATCTCATCAACTTGGTTTCGCATTTAAGTTAAAAAGTGGTCTGCATCTCTTGGGTCAGTCTTTGAAAAGCTTCCATTTAAGGCAAAATTAAATAGGATTGTTTTCTTTTGTTTTGGTTTGTTGATTTTCTTGTTTTCTTTATAAAAATCAATGACTTTAATGTCCGACCTTGCCCGTCTAAAAAATAGTGATAGGAGAAATTCCCGACGACGGCCACTGTTCGAATGCTTGTGTGGAAAGAGCTGCTTCCGGAAATCGAGGAAACTAAAGATTTTATATAAGTTTTTATATATATATATATATTCATAACCAACAGTTTCTATTCGATTAACTCGATTTTGGGATCAATCGATGAGGAATCACAAGGCTCAATCAATTGCCATATTTTCTCTACCCCGGCGAGTCAAGTTGATGACCATTTTCTAGTTTCCAAGCTTTCACACAAGCTCAACACTCTAATCCCCCACTAGATCTCATCGTCAGCTACATTTTCCGACCCCACATCGATAGGTTCTGATAAGCGCTTCTCGAGATTTCGAGAAATTTAGGCGAGGCTCAGGGTGCACTACTATTAGAGAAAATACGATGTGTTAAAATTGAGTAGATTTGTATTTAAATTACAGTTGAACTTTGGTATAACGACACTTCTCGGGACTGGGATTAGACTGAGAAAAGTACGGTAGCTTAAGTAGTTTAGCAAACAAATCTTGGAAAAGTCGTTATGTAGAAAACAAAATGGTTTTGTAATTTGGGCAAAAAGGGTCATTAAATAGAGGTTGTCGTTATACAAAGTGTCGTTTGTTTTTTTGGTGACCAACTAAATCAAAAAATGTCTGTAGATGTGTTGTTAAATCGAGGTTTGTAGTTGGTTGATTACGGTAGATTTCTACAATACGTTCCTTTTAGAAAACAAGTTAGAAAAAACAAGTTTGCTGAAATCAGTGTACTCCGGTTCTCATTTAGATTGCTTGACTCAAGCTCTTCATACGAGTAAAACTAAAATTTACCAAGTAGCTGTAAAAAGTTGAGTAGTCCGACGGCTAGGAGAAGTGTGGCAATTTCCGATCGGTTTTCCCGTTGAAGGAGAATCGACCGAAAGAGGAGACCGAATGAGAGAAGAGCGGCTCCATAAAGTCGAATGCAAAAGTTACATTCTAAAGATGGCTTTTGAAAGGCTTTAATTTCTTTGTATGCTTTTATTTTCGAATTTTATGATTATAGAAGATCCAATCAAAAAAACGATAGAAATTTGAAGAATTTGAAGAATTTGAAGAAGAAGAATTCTTTGCCAATCTTTGCCAATCTTTACCAATCACCTGTGGTACTAAATGTGACTCCGTAGTCCAATTTGAATCCAATTGACGGTACGATCAAGCACTAAGCATATTTTACAATTTGTATTCCCTTTTTTAACTCACCAAAAATCCTATAATGTAGAAATACAGTGAAATGGCCGAATTCCAAACGAGTAATCCTTTGGGGAAACGCACGTAAAGACTCTCGTTGATGCCGAGTAATTGAGAAATCTAAGGAAATTTGATTGAGGTTTTGCAAATGGGCAAAGGTTGTGTTGAAGAGAGCAAGAAGTCTTTTCTACGCTTCAAAAACCCTGGAAAAGGTAAAGATGGTCAAATCTATTGGTGAGATAATAATAGCTTCATGTATTCTGGTTTTATTCATAAGGCAAGGTCAACTGAATGTGCTGGCCAAATTCACATGAGCCACTCACATTCACATGATGCAGAATTTCTCGCCGATTCCGAATCTGCTTCCCATTTTTGCTACGGAGCACTCTGTCAAAAGTTATACTCGTCGAATGGTCTATGGCTCATGTCATTTGGGCCAGGACATTCAGTTGACCTTCCCTTATCAGTTCTGAGTGACATTGGACTTGGAGATAATATTTTTGTCAACTATAGACTTTTAGAGAAGTTTTCAAATGATTAGAGGCAGAAAAATAAAGCCAAATTTAGAGGAAAAATTGGTTTCGAAAATTTTGGCATAGTGACGCCGAAAATGGCGAAATTGGCTCAGTCTCCCACCGTCAAAAGGCAAGCATTTATACTAGACGGGTATGTCAGACGGCGAGCGATTACGTCACCTTTTAAAGAATGCTGCCAGTCATTTTTCTCTTGTTCTGTAAATGATTTCCAAATGAGATTTAGCGTTTAAAATTTCCACGGGTTTTCAGGGTCATAGAATCTATTGATCGGGTTTTTTTAAACCCTTTGTCTCCACAAAGTCTCAAGAGAATCGAATTGGCTTGGATTGGATTACTTTTCACAATGAAAAGACTATTTTACCGATTTGCGCATTTCAAAAGGGAAACTTTTATACCAAACGGGTATGCCAGATGGAGAGAGATTACGCGCTTGCTCAAAGAACACAGAACAGATTTTTCTTTGGCTTTGTCGATGATATAAAAAGAAGATTTATATTGGGTTGGCGAATTGAAAACTGCGTGGCTACTGTCATATGTGACAGTTTGAGCACTTTCTTCAGAAGAAACCCATTTTAGTGTCAATGGAAATGTTGTAGAGAATCAAAAAGCAAGCTTATATCCAAATTTTCAGAACGATTCAAAAACTGGTTTTCAAGAAATGCCAAATTTACACAAAAGAAATACCAAATTTTCACAAAACTTGCATTTTAAGCGAAACTACTAAGTGTATCTTTTTGGAAATTTGGCTATAAGCCTAATTTTTGATTCTCTACAACTTTTCTATTGACACCAAAATGGGTTTCTTTTGAAGAAAGTGCTCAAACTGGGCTGACAACTGCCATCTCTAGTCCTCGATTTTTGAATCTCACACTTGTCCCACACACAAACCAAAACCCTACTACGAAAGAGGAACCCGCAAATTGCCTATAAAATGGGCAGAAGTCGTCAATAATAATGGAAATTATTTGGAATGAATTGATCCTTTTTATGTTGAATAAATTTTAGTTCAAAATCCCGCAGTCTTCGATTCACCAACCCAATAGCTGTAAATTTATTCGAGGGTTTTCAGGGTCGGGCAATCGATTAGAGCTATTCATTTATAAACAAGTTTATCAATTGAATTGCTTTCTAGTCTAGCTCCGCTTCTCCAAAGCAAATGCCCACCTTTGATCGATAAATCTCGCCATTGTCCTTTGCCAACTCTCCGACTCCCAGCAATTTCCTTGTCTTCAGTCGACTTTGTAGATCCGATGCCGATTGTTTCCTACTGACAACGCAAGATTCTTCGAGCATTTAAGTGATATCTATTTGTTTTTCACGATTACCGACCGACAAATGAGGCTTTTTTTTTCACGAAACGGAACAAAACAGAACAATTTTTTGGTTATTTCGGCGCGACAAGACAGTTTTAAAGTTGAAAACCTACGGATCTACGGGTAGCGAATCCTTTGCATCGGACATACTACAGAAAAATTTGACTTTATAAGAATTAAAATCAAATAAGAAGTACAAGAAGTACAAACTGTGAGGAAAAGAGGAGATTTTCAAAAAGTTTTCGAATTGGGTGTGCTTTATAAGCAAAAATTTGAAAACAATCTAGAATTTCTGATGTTTTCCAAAGAAATAACACTATAAAAGGAGAAATTGAGTGCACTAGAAGATTTGTGTTTATGTTTTTATTAAAGTTAATCATAGGAAAACACTTCTGGTGGACTGTATTTATAAAATAGGAGAAAACAAAGAGAAATAAAGCATTCAGGTCACTAGAAAGTGTGCTTCATCAAGTACGCAAAGGCGTACGTTCCAAAGTACGCAAAGGCGGTAAGCTTGAAGTGGCTTTTGTTAAAAATAGGAAACCATCTTAGGAAAGCATTTAATTCATCAAAAAAACAAAAAAAATCGTTGCACTAGAGGGTGTAGGTATAATTTTCAGGTTTAAAGTGGGTTTTTAAGGTTTTAGAATATAAGAAGCTTAAGAAAGATAATCAGAAACAAAAAAGGATACTTAATAAGTTAAAAAAGAAGATAAACAAGTCAAAAAAGATACTTAATAAGTTAAAAAAGATGATCAACAAGTCAAAAAAGAGACTCAATAAGCCAAAAAGGTGATAAACAAGTCAAAAAAGATACTTCATAAGCCAAAAAAGATAATCAACAATCTACCATCATTGTATCATGTAAACTTTCAATCTAAAAAATTATCTGAGTAAAGAAATAATGAAAAGAGAACATTTACACAAAGAAATATCGTCTTTTTCTAAAAATAATAGAAAAAGAAGAGAAAAATAATCAAGTCAGATGTGAAAGGAGACGATTATTCGTGTTGAGTTCTTGTTTTCCTCTTGAAAGGAGGAGAAGAAAAAGAAATGGATGAGAAAAGAGAAGAAAAATGGGGAAGCTCCCAAATCTATTGGTAAGATAATAATAGCTTCATGTATTCTGGTTCTATTCACAAGGGAAGGTCAACTGAATGTGCTGGCCAAATTCACATGAGCCATTCACATTCACATGATGCAGAATTTCACGCCGATTCCGAATCTGATTCCCGTTTTTGCTACGGAGCACTCTGTCAAAAGTTATACTCGTCGAATGGTCCATGGCTCATGTCTCATGCTCATGTCATTTAGGCCAGGACATCCAGTTGACGTTCCTTTATCAGTTATCAAAAAGAAGAGAAAAATAATCAAATCAGATGTGAAAGGAGACGATTATTCGTGTTGAGTTCTTGTTTTCCTCTTGAAAGGAGGAGAAGAAAAAGAAATGGACTAGAAAAGAGAAAAGAGAAGAAAAATGGGGAAGCTCCCAAATTGAAATGGGACAAGAAGAAATGGGGTACTCCTTCTCATTCATTCAAAGAAAAAAAAAGGAAAAGAAAGGGATTCTGTCTCTGAATTGAGTGTTGATAGTGAATACGAAAAACTGAATTGAAAATTGAGAAGCTATTTTCTAAATTCTTGAAAAATTACAGACATTTTCAAGTTCTTTAAGCTACATAAACATCTTTAAGCTTCTTTTCATTTAAATCTTTTCTTTTCAAATCTTTCGACATCTTTAAACACTTCATTTAAAAAGCTATTTAGAAATAACCAATTCACCAATTCACATACGATTTGCTAATTAGAAAGGCCCACTATTTTTCTATAAAAGATCATTCAAATCTTAAGAGATCTTTTGTTTCTGGCTTATTTTTTAAAGTGCGAACACAGGCATTCAAAGGACAGACAAACGGACGGACAGACAGACGGACAGACAGGCGGACAGACAGACGGACAGACAGACGGACAGACAGACGGACAGACAGGCGGACAGACAGGCGGACAGACAGGCGGACGGACAGGCGGACGGACAGGCGGACGGACAGGCGGACGGACAGGCGGACGGACAGGCGGACGGACAGGCGGACGGACAGGCGGACGGACAGACACTAATCCAAAAAAGCTGACATTACTTGGAATCAAATGAATTCATTGTTTCAATAGAGTGAAAATCGTTAAGAAGACTAGCTTTATCTAGAATAGAATAATTATTTTGAAAGTTTCCTTGTGAAAGTCCGAGTATTTTGAACGAGTCATCACGCTTTGAAGGCCTATAACTTTGTCCAGAGATAATATTTTTGTTAACTTTTTAAATCATTGCATAGACGACATTTCAGTCTTTCAAATGATACTAAATAGAGCTTGACTGGGTTTTTCATTCCCATGCAAACCAGGCGACACGACACCAGCATGGGATAGGCCTCATTTGCTCAGAGTTGGTTCTGATTTTCTTGAACTGAATTGTCAAATCAAGCTCTATTTGGTATCATTTGAAAGCCTGAAATGTCCTCTATTCAATGATATAAAAAGTTAACAAAAATATTATCTCTGGACAAAGTTATAAGCCTTCAAAGACGGGCCTTCAAAGACGACCCGTTCAAAATACTCGGACTTTCACAAGGAAACTTTCAAAATAATGATTCTATTGATATAAAGCTAGTCTTCTTCACGATTTTTACTCTATTGGGCTATTCACTTTCAAGATTTTAATTTAAAGAGAAAACTTTTTCATCCAAAAAGCACTTCACATCTAATTTGCATTTTGAAGCGAGAAAAACAAGGGATTTCTGAATTTTCGTTATTTTTGTCTTATTGTTTACTTTGCTGTTTGAAAATAGATTGTGGACTGATTGGAGAACTCGAGAGGGATTTGAAGAAATAATTTTTTCGTCACCAACACTTGGAATGGAATTTTAAAACAAAATTTCTTTCATTCTGAGCAATTCTGATTGGGAAATTAGGAAAATCATTGAATTATTGTTGAATTTCGACTTACTAAAAGAAAATTGAAGAGTCAGAATGATGAAAAGATATTCACTTTCTTGAAAACTATTGGCCCTATTGAATTTTCGTTTAAATTTTCAGAATTTCTAAAGGCAGACAAAAAAGAGGCCAGATTTTCTGTCACCTGCCGTGCATCAATCTTTCTCAGCCTCTAGATTTTTCCCAGCTACACTTTTGGTACCAAAAATACTAGATTTCAAGGGCTATCATTTGACACCCAAGCGCACACTGTAGCATAAAGCAGCGCGGAGAATGGGACGTTCAAAGTTAGACTACGCGATTGTACGCTCGTCATTATGGGAGTCATTATGAGCTTACAAATAAAGCCCCACAAAATTTGCATTTTAATTTGGCGAAATTGGAAAGAGAAAGACGATTTGTGGTCAAATCAATAGCAAATGTGTGCATTTATTTTTCAAGTGCTTTTTGATTGCGGTTCCCGATCGATGAAAGACAAATACAACTCTCTAAACCGGGATGATCCATCGATTAACACTCGAAAACAATCGAGCGCTTACCGGGATGAAAAAGAAAGCTAAATGGAGAAAGAAAGATCGAGTCTGGTCATCACTTTTCGAGAGATCACTTTTCACAAGATCACCTTTCGATTCTCGCATCTGGCTGATTTATTCATACCAAAATTGGAAAAGAAAGCTTTTACAATTGGATTTTCAAGTAAATCTATGCACAATTGATCAAAAAAACAACTCAAAGACTATGGGGATCGTGAATTGATCGCCTTTTTCGTACAACCGTGTAGAAAATTGCTTGTTTAAAATGTATTGGGCTGGTGAATTGAAAACTGCGGGCTATTGTCATCTGTGACAGTTTGAGCACTTTCTTCAGAAGAAACCCATTTTAGTGTCAATGGAAAAGTTGTAGAGAATCAAAAATCAAGCTTATATCCAAATTTTCAGAACGATTCAAAAACTCGTTTTCAAGAAATGCCAAATTCACACAAAAGAAATGCCAAATTTTCACAAAACTTGCATTTTAAGCGAAACTACTAAGTGTATCTTTTTGGAAATTTGGCTATAAGCCTAATTTTTGATTCTCTACAACTTTTCTATTGACACCAAAATGGGTTTCTTTTGAAGAAAGTGCTCAAAATGGGCTGACGGCTGACATCTCCAATGCTCCATTTTTGAGTCTCATACTTGTCTCACACACAAACCAAAATCCTACTACGAAAGAGGAATCCGCAAATTGGCTGTAAAATAGGCAGAAGTCGTCAATAATAATGGAAACTATTTGGAATGAATTGATCGTTTTATGTTGAATAAATTTAAGTTCAAAGTCCAGCCGTTTTCAATTCACCAACCCAAGATATTTTTTGTAGGATTTATTTGAAAAGTACCGAAATTTCTGCTAAAAATAGAATCTAAAAGAATCTAAAGAAATCTAAAGAAACGTAAAAAGGAAATAAAAAGGTATGGGTAAGAGATTCTCTAAAAAAAAAAAACAAATCAAAGCCAATGGGGATCGTGAATTGAAATGAAATGAGAGAAGACGACGCAGATTTTCTGATCAGATACAACAATGGAAATGAGAATGATAAAGTGGAAAAGAGGATAGAATTTTGAAGACAAATAGACAGTCCGTTTGTCTGTCCGTCTGTTTGTCTGTCTGCCGGTGTGTCCGCCTGTCTGTCCGTCTGTCTGATAAAGTGGAAAAGGGGATAGAATTTCGACGACAAATAGACAGCAAAAAGTTCTAAAAAAGTTCCAAAGACAAACCCGACAATTCCCATTGGTAAAATTGTAGCGAAAGAGTTTTTTTCGAAAAAGAATTTTCGAAAATTTCAATTAGGTTTAAGATTTCGAAATATCGATAATAATTTATTAATAAAAAGCAAAAAAAGTCGGTTTTGTTCGGGTTTTAAACAATTTTAACGCATTTTACAACTAAAATCCACTTTTCTGAAGTAATTTTCACTATTAATAGGTAAAATTTGTTGGGTAAGAGGGAAATTTG